ATACTTTTCTATGCTTTTTAGTTAGATGTAATTGTATTAGTGATAGTAACAAAAAAATTGCTGATTCGGTACCTTTATTTCTGATGTAAGCATACTGAAATTTGGTTTCAAACTCCATTTCTTTAGTCCATTGTTGAAATTTGACTGCTATTATTGTCATAAAACATTTTCTCAAAATTGAAAGTAAAGCTATTTGTCTGTAGTTGTTTGGAGATAGTTTGTCACCCTTTTTATGTATCATAGTAAGATGGAGTTCCATGATATAAGATTGTAATATACATTGAGTTAAATAGATTCAGTAAAAAATTTGTAAATTCTAAAAATAAATAAGATTATTTCCAGATTAAAACAAGTAAAATTACTCTTTCTTATCTGACTTTGAAAGATTCAGTTAAGCAGACAAACAAATAATAAAGATGAGGCTTTACTATATGAAAGCGAAATACATTTGGATATTGTGAACTTATTGAAAATGGAGTTATTGGTAATTAAAGTTTAGTATTTCTTTGTTATTTGTTTGTCTGCTTAATCGAAGTCAGATAAGAAAGAGTAATTTTACTTGTTTTAATCTGGAAATAATCTTATTTATTTTTAAAATTTACAAATTTTTAAGAATATTACCGATCCCATTTTTTAAATTTTACGAATATAGATTCAGTAATTTTATTCTTGCTTGATGAGGAAGTAATTTTAAGAATTTAGTTGGGACATGGTCACTGCCTGGGGTTGAGTTACTTCAAGTCCTGTTAATAGAATCTTCTAATTCTTTGATTGTAAATTTTGAGTCCAAGCATTCATTGTAGGAGGCAATACTAGATATAAGTAATGGGATTGGTTGAATATTTGGAAAGCACCGATAAAAAATTTTTCCATGGATCAAAATTTATTACTGGGAGATTATCACTGAGATTTATGTTGAAGTGGAATTTTCATATTGTTGACCAAAACAATTTACTATCCTTACTGTTACTGTATTAATTAAAGTTAATTGAAGATTTCCAAAATATTTTTTCTTTTTAGCCTTGAGCAAGTTATTGTAGGTCTGTTAACCTTTACTAAATATAGGAATGCTAAAGTCATTTGAATCTTTCCTGAATAGTTTTCAATTGTATTGCTTTATCAGTTTTATATTGTAACAGTCAAAGTCATCAAAGGTTCTTAAAACCTATTTTGAGTATTAATTACATCATTTTTTATTTGTATATAGTTGTTCATTATGTGTACCATGAGTTTGTAAATTTCTTCACTATTAAAGTCAGTTATTTCTGGAATATTATTGAATCGTTTTTCAATTTTGGCTGAGCAACTTGAAATATTATAATTTATCCTTTGGTATCTATTATACAGTGTGTATTTATTTTTTTCTGCAAAAACAATAAGAGTTTTGTCACTGTAGGAAAGTGATTGGATGCATCAAAGATTTTTGTAATAAATTCCATAAAATGGTTCAACAGAAATTCTGCACATATAGTAAAGTCAGTTGTGTATTTTCCATTGTGTTTTATGCAGGTGTATTCAGCAGGATAATTGGGTTTCATAAGTCTGTTTAGGATATACATTTTATGGTCAAATATTATCTCTTAAGTTTACATCCAGTCTATTGACATGTTTTTTTTTTTTTTTGATTGTCGGATATTTTGAGTTAAGGCATTAGGACTACTATACCAGGAGTCCATCATATCAGCAATTCATGAATTGGAGACTCCAATAGGTGGATATATGGTGTGATATGTTGTCATAGTTCTATTGTTTTGAAAATTTCTTTTAGTTTTTCTAGGCAATCGGGAGGAATATAAGCGACCATCACTATCATTAAATTATTATTTGTTTTCAAGTATGGGTTTATTCATTGAAATTAGTAATAATATGAAGTTATCTGTTTTTCTGATTTGAAGTATTTTACAAAGATCCTGTTTTATTAGAATACATAGACCTTTGATTGAATGACCTGAGACTAATAATTTATGTGCTGGTACTATTTCTACTATAAAATCTTTAAAGAAATTTGATTTGCACAACAATTCAGAGGTTATCCCTGTTTCAATTATGCTGATAATGCCTGATTTGAATATTAGTTGAAGGGAGTTAAACAATATTTTGTTTTTCAGACCTTGGCTATTCCAGTTCATTATATAAAGCAATTGGTTATTATAGTAACTTTTTCTTGATGTGGTTTTCTTTGGTTTGTTATACATCAGCTTGTCAATTTCATTGGCAAGGAAAATGGTAAAAAAATTGTCCACAAACTAATTTTTCTGTATCAACACTATATGTTAGTCTATATTGGCCTATTAACAAAAAGTCATTACATAGTTTTATTTATTGATTTCATTTTCTCATTTCAGTATAGGTTGGGAGTAAGTGTTTTTGTCTTTCTCTTGAAGCCTTTGTAAGGTCTGATGAAATCTGCACCTTCTGACAATCTTCAAGCAAATTTTGTTGTTTCTATATATAGAAATGATTTAAAACGATGGAGTTGGTTTCTATTTCATTCACTTAATCGTATTATAAAAATATACAAAAATCAATTTTCAATCTAATCTGACTTGTTGAGGATAAAAATTTCTTAAACTTTAAAACATTATAAAAGTAACTTAGTAAAAGTAAAAAATAAAAAGGAACAGCGAATCCAATTGCAAAAATACTTTTAATAAACCAATGATACCTCTAAATGCATTTCACCTTTGTGTTTAGAAGGCCTCTTCAGTAGAATCAGTGGCAATTATACAGTTTTGGACTTTAACATCATCACTTAGTGTAATTTGTATCTTGTGTAAGTACAATTAGCCTCGACTTTGTTGTTTCTTTTTTACAAAGGCAGTAAAAACTTGATCCTGGATCTGATTATTTCTAAGTGTTAGACTTATAACTGGGTTAATTGACTTGGTTAATTGAATTATATTGTGACACAAATTGTAAGTCCAATATTCATTTTATAAAATTATAAATTTTTAGTTTTGAGATGTTTTTCGAAATAGGATAGTTGTGCAGTATTATATTATTATGATGAAGTCCATTGACTAAAGCATCCATTTTTAATTGCATAAGTTCTTTTTCCATTTTTAAGTCATCTATATGTTGTTTCAGATTATTGATTTGTCCTTCCATTTTTTGATAATGTTCTTTAGTTTCACAAATACTATCATGAATCAGATCAAGATCATCTTTTATGGAAGTCATTTGATTAGAAAGTCTTTCATTGAGGTATTTATTAATAAATCTGAGATTCTGTTCCATAAAACTGTTATTGAAGTGTCTGGTGAATTGCTTGGGTTGGTTAGTGAAGTAGAGCATAATACATTTGATTCGCCTGGGGATTTCTGTGGATTCTATAATACTATGTCCATATGAGGATCAATAACAACTGAGGATAATTCCCATGAATCTTTATCCTCATATAAATTAAAATCTGTTATGAATTTGGTATTAGTCAAAGTTGATTGATCTTTCCTGTTGCCCACTTTAGTGCAGTTTAGTGGTGGTCTTCTGCACTTTACTGGTGAATGTTGCATTTTATCTGGAATTTGGTTTTTCTCCAAAGGTCAATAAGTTATATTAAATTCTATTCACTTTTTCAGAATTTAGAATAATTGAAAGTTACAAGTTTACAAATTTCCTGCATGTTGTTGAAGTGCAGAAAGAGAGTCACCAGTTTTTGTATTATTGATGGCAGTTCAAAATAATTATGAAATTAGTATTTACATATTTTTATTTATTTAATATCAATGATAACCTTTTAAATCAGATTTTATTTTTTCAAAAATATTACAAAAAAANACTTTATTAATAACTATTTATTAATTACGTCAGATAAATAATATATTAAAAATACATTTAAAGAATTAACTGATCGCCCGTGGAAGTCGGCTTCTTACAAAAACACAGCTTCCCTATCATCAAATGTCACGGCACGCCATGGTGACCATGGTTTAATACTTTCCCGACTGTTGTGTGTTCGTAACAAGGGAAGTGTTGGAATCGTGTCAAATTTGAACCTTTGAGTTTTTTGCAAATCTGCACGTTTTGAGACTTTTTGAACCCAAAAAAGTAAGAAAAGGGAAAAAAGAAAAAAAATTCTGTGGGTATTTATGTGTGTTAGCGTCTATTTCGCTTAATATCTCAGGATGGGGTAATGATTAAAAAACGAAACTTGGCATGGTAATTTGTCTATAAGGGACATTGATGCTATTAGATTTTGGTGGTTAAAGGTCGAAGATCTGGAAAGATAGAGGAGGTCATGTCATATCTCGAAAGGAGTCGGACTTCAGAAAGATTTTACTCGTTATTAGCATTTACAAATTTTCTTCATTTAATAAAACTCATCTCCACTCTCAAAATTAAGTTTTTTTTGCCATTTTATAATAATTAATATCAAAAGTTTTCTATAATAAAATCTCATAACAGTTGATGTCACAAATTTTATTTATATGATTAATAATGTATGCTATTTTTAAATAAAATCTAACGGCCGGAAAAGTCTCGTAACTCATTGCTGGATTTTCTTTTCGAATTTTTTCGAATGTTGAGACGATTTATTTAGATTTCATCCAATTAAATCGTCTTTAGAATTCATTTTTATAAATCTCCATTGCTTTTCATATTTTATACAGGTGATAGCGTTTGACTGAAATAAATATTGTCTTAAGTTAAAATAATTTCAAAATTGAAAAAAAATCATCTCGTATCAAAATAACAAAAACAAATTCAATTATGCTGTCATTTAAAGTAGTGGCGCCCAATTTGGTCGCTAGATTTTTCTAGAGATCAGTCGATTTTATCTGGATGGGTCGACAGATCACTTGGGATCTTTTAAAGATCGGTGGACAAATTTTATTATTATTATATAAACGTAAAATCAAAATTAAATAAGAAATATTTATATTATTAATTATTATTTGATTTTTTATTTCATCGTATTTGTAATTTATTCGTTTTTGTCAGTGTAGGAGTCGACAAACCAAAAAAATTGTGACTTCCTGATTTAAAGCTTTTAAAAACTAATAATCAATAAGATAAATATTCCTTAATGTAATATCCATAAAACAGTGTTTTAATAGAAAACTACAAATCACTGCAAAAGAGTTGCGAGCGCTCCAGGCTCATTAGAAAGAACTGTACTTAACGAACTAAGTATTCTTGATGATGAATTGAATGGCTTCCGGGCTCTGTGTAGTAATGATTTTAGTAATTCTTGGAGATTCAAGTCAGTTTTAAATTAAAAGACGTATTATTCACACAAAAACAATCGTTATTCTTTTATCTATATCATATATATTTTTATTTACAGGTGCAAATAATCCATATACATTTTTCGAGATTATATACTTTTATGACAAATAAATATGAGGTTTTTTAAATAATGAAACGATAACACAAAGAACCGAAAACACTATATACATCACATTATGCATAATATAATACAAAAGAAATATTACAATAGATTCGATAATGGCAAGGTGATTTAGAAGATAAACTCTTTACAGTGCATCTTTTGTTTAATATTATTTGAGCAATTTATATATATATTTATATATGTATATATCAATGAATACACGTTGCGAATTTAATACTAAAAAATATATCACGTACTGTACGTCGTAAAATGTGCCATAAAGCTGCGCGGTGAGCCGTTTCTAAAATACTTCAAGTATGCATTGAAGAACTCTAGGGGGTAACTGTAATGAGGGGCATATTGCGAGATCTGGCATAATAACCAAATCGTTATTCAAATTCAAATATACGTGATTTAAATTTCGATAGATGATGATAACAACAACAAAGTATCGAAATAATATAAATGGAAGCCAACATTTTTTTTAATACTATTTCCGTTCGAAATTTTAATGTTCGTTCCGTCTTAACAAATTTAATTTAATATGTAAGAAATGCGGGTCTTATTCAAAAAATGGCCTAAAACTGTAGTTTTCTGTCGATACAATTTGTCTCGAGGGATCGAATTTCTCAAACTAGAATCGCCACTTTGACTGTCACGCTTGTTAAATCATAACTGTTTTTTGTACTTTGTATCAACTTCCCTGGAGAAAAACTTCATTCTGAGAATAACAATATGTATTCTTGTAAGGTACGTACATTTTTACTAATTTTAAAGTATAAAAAAACATTTGACACCATTCTTTAGAGGAACTTACATTTAAATTTTGTTATAAATTCTGAAAAATATTTAATTTTATGACTTGTGATAATCATTCTATGACCTACACAATGACTTTTTAATAATAATACTAATTGCAAATCTATATGACGCATCAGTAACTGTTCTCCTGTAGAGAATAGTCTGTGCAGTTCCGATTTGAGCAATATCAGATGAACGATTCTAACAACCACGACTATAACAGACTGTTTTTTAATTTAAAATTTCAATTAATTTTACTTTGAAGTTAGCCATATCAATGTCAAACTGCTCCATTTTTCTCCTATTTCGATTTACAAGATCTCTGGCACAATTTCGAACCACGAAGTTTTTACTCGTAAAATGACAGGGTTGGCTGCGTAATTTAAAAATTCAAAATGTACCGTTCAACACGAGCTGCTTTTGTATTTTCCGTCACCATTTTCTAATATAGCCATTTTAACTGTTGGCGGCGAACAGGATATTCCGTTTCTACCTTGCAATTGATACCTGTCCTTCAACAGTGTCAGAGCAGTCATGAGACGAGTGTTGGCAGAATCTAGACTCTGTATCTTCCTTTCCTGTGCGTCGATTACTTTTTGCTTGACGGCAATCATTTCTTGCATCTCTTGCTGTTCTCGACGGAGTTCCTCTTCCACAGTTATTAATCTAATAGAATGATTAAATATTAATTAATTGCTGTAATCAAATAAAGCAGACTCTCGATAACAAAGTGGAAAAAAGAAATTTTCGAATTAACGAAATTTTTTGGTTACTGAAGCTACTGTTATTTTAATAAGATTGTAAATATCACAATATAAACACTTGAAATCGAATGATATAATAATTTTTACTTTTAAGTAATTTAATGCTTCCTGCAACCTCCAAATAATAAGAATAATAATAAAATATGTATTAAAAATTACCTTTTGAATTACTTAGAAATTTTCACAAATAGAAACAATTTATTAAAGTTTGTTGGAAATTGCTTACAACAACAAAAAAAAAGCCTTTGAATTGAGTTGAAAATTTAAAGAAAAAAATGAATTTAGATCAAACTTCTAACTTAGAAAGTAATTTTCATTTTTTAAATAAAACGTATTATAAAAATGTACAATAATATTTTGTATTAAGATTTTAAAAATGGTCAATACTGGGATCACTCAATCTGGTTCTTATGTTAGTAATGAAAAGTCCTGATACTGAGAATGCCCTTTCTGATTCAATTGATGTGGGTGGAATCGTGTTTAATGCATTTAAGAGAAGACAGAGGTGTGTTTTTTCACCTGTAGCCTCAAAGTTTTCTAGTTCATTTTCGAAATGTGTTGCAGTACTTTTTTTTGTTGTCTAGTTTTCTTGATTTGTCTACCTGGGCTGCTTTAATAGTGGCATCAAAGCTTATAGCCCGATAATTCGGCAATTTGTTTGGCTTTAATAATCAGGTTTATGAAAAACTTCATACTTGCATACTTCATACTCGTTTGTATCCTTGCCCAATTTGCACAACCTGTTTCAATAACTGCATTATGTCTGGTTGTACAAACCTGGCATAACGCAGTTATTGAAACTACTGGGCATGGTTAAAAATTAAGACAGCATCATTGCAATTATTCATGATATTACAGATTCTGACATATTTCAAAGTCCTGCCACAAATAGACTACATATTGATTTATTGACAATCTTTGACATGCCATAACAAGCAAAAATTTAAAAAACTAATAGGTACGCTTAAAATTAATAAATACAAATGTATTCTGACAATTTGAGTTAATTATATTTACTATTTGCAAAATTTCCTCAACCTTAAGACAAAATAAGAAAAAAAATGAACTTTTACGAAATTTGCAGGCTTTCCTGGGTTAAAACAACCAAGATCCCCCCTTTTAGAGTTTAGAGAAACCCTAGTTGCGGTGTTCCTAGTCTAGAAGCAGAAGATTGTCTGTAACAGGATTTATTTATTTTTCTTCATTGGCTGATTCTTGCACTTTGTTCTTTACTTTAGCAATGATATTATTTGAAGATGATATGACCTAGCTGTCTGCTGACACACAATATTGTCAATATTGACAAAATCTATGAGTGACACTCATTGCTGTAATGAGATTGGCCTAATCTTCTTCAATATGGTTGACAGATTCTAATGGAAATTAGATTGAAATCTAACTTCATAAACAATTTTCAATGGCACCTTGTAGAACTTCATTCCAAGTTTTTCCATTCATATTCATATACATCTAATAACAGGTTTACTCCAAACTTGCATGAACCATCTTCAAAAACATGCAAAATCTTTTGTATGGTTTTCTAATCTAAATGTTGCAATCTAGAATTTGTATTTGGTGGTAGAAATTGAACTGTTTATCTTTTAGAATGGAAATAATAGAATTAGCATTGCAATTATTGATAAAAAAATAATTTTTCTGTTTTCAGCAATCATGAAGAGCATCTATCAGTAACTTTTTCAGCCAGTTAGAAAAAAAAAACTCTAATATCATGTATACTTTCTTATTTGCTGCATATTATATAGATAATGTCTAGCATTATGGAAACGCAGTGCTTTAAAGACTTTTCAACTAATAATGATAGCAGTGTTTTTTAATATAGCTTTTGATATAGTTTTCATACAGCAAACAGGTAAGTAGGACAAAGATGCCTAATTAAATGGTCATTTCTGTCACTACACCTTAGTTTTTTGTGTGAATCCATATAAAGTCAACTATACATAATAGTGCCTATAGAAACATTGACAAATTTAAGAGAGAAATCTAAGTGAAATGTTGCAAAATTTAAAAAAAGAAAAAAGTTGTGTGTCAGAGCAAAATTCACAAAAATTCAAACTCAAAATATTTTCAACTTTCAAACACTTTAAACACACATTCTATTAATTTTATTCCATGATGAATGACTTTTGAATTACTTTTTAAAGTAACTCACAATAATACAGAAAGTTTGATAAATAATGGATATCTTCTTATAGTGTAGATTTCTAAATTTTATGAAAATCTAAAATTTATTGCTAATTTTTACATTAGTATTTAAAAAGACATTTCTTTCATCATTAGATGTACAGAAACTACAGTAGTACTTGAATTTGAATAACTTGTTTTTTGTATATAATACTTCGATACCTCTAGATATACAGTAGAGCATCGATTTTCCGAAAGTCAATCATCTGAAAGAATTCCAATCGGCAAATTTAAATTTTCGCCAGTGCTGTGGTGCTTCAATCTTTGGCTATGTCTTGGGCTACTCAAATATTTTACGTTTTTGATACTAAATTAACATCTGAAGTATAATTTTTTATTGTTTTTNAGTAACTGGTTTCGACTTATTTCTACTTAAGAAGTAGTTAAATAATTAAGAGATTAGGGAATTGGGGATATAAATAAAACCCTGCTGTAAGAGCCGAAATTTTACTTAATAGATTAACCGAACCAATCTCTAGCCGAGTACAGTGGGACTGATTTCTTCGTAATATTAGACATAATAAAGACAGAAATTTTTCCAGTTCAACGAGAGTGACCGAAAAATTGTAAATTTTGGAAATTTTCGTGCTCACCTGGTCCTAAAACGAATTAGTTCAAAAACAAATGACTATTAAGTTTAACATATTTAGATTTTTACAGTTATGGTGAGAAACGTTTAAAATTTACAACAACCCTGTCGCGTCCTTTGAGATATACTAGTGATGCGACAAAAGAGGCATTTGACATTAANACCTTATATATATATATACAATATTTCATTTTTAATTCTAATCTTGTGATTTATAACAGAATTAATGGAATTCTAATCTGTTATTCTAAAGAAGTAACTTTTTTATGAATATACACACAGTGAATGGGATTCTAATGTGTTAGTTTTTTTTTCTTTAAAGATCTTATGGTTTAAGGACAGATTTCACAACTGTTACCATATGCTTATTATAAATCTTAAAAATTCACTATATATATTTTTCACTTACTTCTAGTGAAATTAAAATATTTAAAGTAAAATTTTCAGAACTATAATTATAACTCTGTATTTTTATTATGTAACACTAAATTTATATAGTTCAGCTTTTTATCTTATTTCAAATGATCCTATTTTCCCACTCAATTATGAAGTGAAAAAGTCTAAAATGAAAAAAATTAAAATTTTTTACATTTTGAAATTATTTGAAGTTTAAAATAAACAAGATCTAACAAATAAATTATAAACCTATTTTAATCTATATATATATAATTACATGTCCTGACTGACTGACTGACTGATTCATCATCACCCAAAGCAAAACCGCTGAACCTAAAGAGGTGAAATACAGAAAACAGTTAGGGTACCTCACAAAAATGTACACTAAGAAGGGATTTTTCAAAATTCCCCTGCAGGGGAGAGGGAGAGGATTAAGGCTTAAAAAGTCTTAGCCCCAAAAGGCAGTACCACAAACATGGTTTACAAAGAGGTACTGGGGTAACTGAAACTCTATTTTTTAGTAAATATTTATACTTTAAGAATTTTCAGATAACGTCATTTATGTTTAGGAAAAAAATTGAACTCAGATTTATTGTATCTTGGAATCCCATAATATTTGAAACTTGAATTTAGGTGCATTAGCAATCCATAGTTTGAAACAAACAAAAATTAGTAATTTAACCAAATTAGTAACAACTAATGATTGAGAATCTTAGTGAAGTACCGAGGGAGGGTTATTTCTATCAAATTGCAAAATCCGCAGGGGCAAAGCTGCGGGTAACAGCTACTATATGTGTATATATATATTCATATAAACCAATATCTAAACAATTGTGTAATTAAGTATTTAAACAATTAATTTAAAATCAATTTTGTACTTTAAGAAAATTATTAAGACAATTAAAAAGTTTAATAATGCTATAAATGTCTCTTATTAAAATAAAAATTATAATTTTTAATTTGTTTAACTTCCATAAAATGTTACAAAAGATTAGATATATCATTATTTGCAAATTATAATCATTTAATTTTGTTTGACTATTGTTCTGTTTACAACTTTAACTAATTTAAAAACTTAACACAGTACACTCTCCAAAATCCAAACTAATTATTTTATATACAAGGTTGTTTGGACTAGTGAAAAGTTCAGATTAGTTGATGTTTTACAGTGTGACTCCAATTTACAAATAGTGATACCTTGTACTTTAAATGACTAACTTTGAATGCTAAATTCAAAAATTCACTTCAGAGTTCAAACTGCACATGCAGTGAAAAAATCACTTGAAACATAAACACCATCTGTTTTACACCCAATTTGTCTTGCTCTCTTGCATTACATTAACAAAAAAGCACTGAAAACATATTATTGATATGTTTGATTACGAGGTCTGTTCAAAAAATATGCGGACTGTTTGAATTGCGCAGCTCCGGTTGGTTCCAGAGGAATCAGCTTGGTGTCGCTAGGTTTGTACAGATTGTCTGGTGATAAAGCCATTTCCTGATTACAGATATCTTTATTTGTTGATTAGCTATGCGGTTTTTAGTGAAGTGCGATTTTTTTGTTTGTCGGATTTCAGAACGAATGACCTGATGGAGCAACAACTTGCTGTGAAATTTTGTGTTAAACTTGGAAAATTTGCAACTGAAACATTTGCTATGCTCAACACGACTTACGGTGAAGTTGCTATGAAGCATATGGCATGTTTCAAGTGGTCCCCCAGACCCAAAAAAGCTTGCCAAGTTTGATCCAATGTCAAAGTGATGCTGACAGTTTTCTTTAATGCTAAGGCTGTTGTTCACCACGAGTACCTCCCCCAAGGCTCCACAGTGAACCAGACTTACTAAGTTGAAGTTTCAAAACGTCTGAGGGACGCCATCTGTCGCAAAAGGCCAGAAATGTGGAGGAATGATGATTGGTTTCTCCATCATAACAATGCTCCAGCCCATTCAGCCCTCAGAACTCGTGAGCCAAACACTCGATCACTGTTCTTCCCCACCCACTACTCACCTGACCTTGCTCCTCGTGACTTTTTCTTGTTCTCCAAACTCAAAAGATCCTTGAAAGGAAGAAGATTTGAGACGATTCCCGAGATTAAGGCAAATGCAACAAAGGTGCTGAAAGACATTAGAAAAGAAGAGTACCAGGACTGTTTCAATAAGTGGAAACACTGTTGGGATACGTGTGTGTGTTGGGAAGGAGTACTTTGAAGGGGACCCAGACATGTAACTTCTACATAAAGTACATTTTGTTTTATGACGTTAGTCCGCATATTTTTTGAACAGACCTTGTATATGTATTGTTTGTCAAAAATTGACAAATAACAGTTTCTTCCTGCAATTTTCTTTCTTCAACAAAACTGAACTTTTTAAACCCCATTTGAAACATTTGAAGTTTAGGAGCATCTTCCCTATATATATTACAAATTTTTTTACTGTCTGTATGGTGTATTCTTCTGACACCATAAAGCATAATATGCCTGATATGCCATTTTGTTTGAAGACATTTCATCTTTTTTATTCATATAAAATTGAAGTAAAAAGCTTAAAATAAACTTCTAAACAAAGAATAAAATATCACATTAGCAATAAGGGGTTAAATTTCATAACTGTTATAGTTAAATCATACATCTATGTTAAGTAACTAGAGCTGTTAAAAGTATATTGAATTGAATGGAAAGTTTCTGAGTAATTTTTATTTATTATTAGTGGTATCCAAGAAGAGTGTAGAAACAACGAAGCCTAATTGTTGTATCAACAATTGAGACAAAAAGAAACTTATCACGTGGTAGATCTGGCTGAAATTAAAGGTGTGCACCCATAAATACAATTTTCATTTGAATTTTGAAATGAGATTTTATTGTTTTTGTGTGTTATTATTATTATTATTATTATTATGTGTATTTGATGTTTTAAGTTTATTGAAAAGGATATTGTTTAGGATCTGGGAGTAGATTAAGTCACTTTCCATTATTTCTAATGTGAAAAATTGATTTGGATTTTGAATAGCCTCCTGGAACAAATTAAATTTGAAGTATGAGGCACTACTATATTCAATACAAGTTACAGTGGAACCTCACAATGAGTATTTCACGTAATGAGCAAAACAAATTGTAAAATGATGACTCACTTAATGAGTGATATTTTGCATAATGAATGACATGGAGAGGGGATGTCCCAGATTGTGCACACGCACCTCTGTGTTTAGCACTTGTTCCGCTAGCATCTTACTGTTGCTTGTGATCACATATTTACCATACTTGTGTTCACACATATTACGTATAAACATCAACAACCATAGTCCGTTATATAATAAACACTTCAAACGATATGCCAAACTGTTGAGCTATGTTAAGTCAATAATTAAAGATTAAAAATTAATTAATTTGACTAGAGATAGACAGTTGTGATGCCATCTTGTAATAAATTTAATGACCAATTCCAAATTAAATTTTAGAAATGTCTAAATTAAAAATTATTTATTTATATGATATATAAATAATATATTATATATATGATTACAATGCCAAGCTGCAATTTTTAATCATCTTTAATTTAAAAAATAACACAACTTCTGGTCAACTGGAAGTATATAGTTAATTGGGCCTCTGTCACCCAAGTTTTCCATATCTGGTCTCAATTTTTATCTATGTAACTCCATTCTCAAGATTAAACAAAGGATGGATGGACAACAGATGGAATGTATAGTATTTGAGAAATTCAGTTCAAAAAGGCTTAAAAAATTCAACAAAAGTGGCAATAAAATACAAATTTCAATTGCAGTTAAAACATACTGTACACACACACACACACAATTCAGTAAATGGAATAAACAAATTTGAATAACAGTAAAAGAAATACAGAAAGTTAATTATCATGAAGATAAATAGATTAAGAAATAATACAGCAATAACAAATGATTTCATGACAAACTGATCTTATTCTTCAAAATATTCTATAAGTAAAAGTTAACCACACATTATTACAATGTGTACTATATGTGGTACATGAAAGTATAGACCTATTAGACAAAATGTAAAATGAGGTTCAGCTTGACTTGTGTTAGTCCACTTTCTATATTGATTATTATTACCATTGTTGATCAGATTAAAAGCCACAGTTTAGTTCTAAGTAAAAAAAAAACAGATTTAAACCATGAGTTATTTATTTAGACCTTGTTTCTGCAACTGATCTATTATGTTAATCTAAAATGTTAATTTTATGCATTAAGGCAAGAATTTTTTAACTTCAGCCTAATCAGATTTACTTAGAACCACATCGGAAACAATTTTTTGGTGCATTGCTAATGGTGCATTGAACTGATGAATTGGTGAATTCAACTATTATTCATATAATAGTTGAATTTGAGGTTAGGAAATTAATTTGTTGAGAAAAATAAATAAAAACTATATAATTTTTTTTATTACCTCTTCAATTGACTTTCCATTTGAACTTTCACTTTTTGCTCTTCTACTACGATACTTTAGCCTTTTCTGTGATCTTCTTGAATTTCGTTCATTTGTTGTATCAGTATCTAGTTCTGAATCTTCTGTATGACTAATTATATTAAAATAAATTAATTTTGTATCACCAAAATAAAAAAAAATATATATATATACATTAGTTTTTCAAGCATACTTTTGTTTGTCATTATATTCTTCAAACTTTTTGTGAAGAGAATGATGTTTTCTTCCAGTTGTACCATAAAAATGATTATTTTCATTGCGGTTGCACCTTCTGGCAAAATGAGGAAGAGATCGTATCTGTAGATGAGAAGAATGAGATTTGGTAGCTGTATGCATTGGACTGGTTCTTAGAGGAGATTTTACTGGATTTCTCCGTTCTCTCATTGGGGTAGAACCACAACTAGAGCTATCTGTAGAGGTACTGAAGTTGGCAGCAGTATCTATTCACAAGAATATTGTTTACTTTAAAATATAAATTCAGTTGAAATATATTTGTAGAATGACAACTAACCTGAACATATTTTATTCATTTGAACTTTTTCCTTATTATTTTCATATTTTTCTTCTTCGCTTTGACTATTGGAAGGGAAATGATACATTGGGTTACTGAAGGCAAGAGGAGGAGGAAGGCAGGTTGCTGACTGATGAGATGTCTCCTGTTGAAAAACGGGGTCCACGGGTGAACTAGATTGGCTGTATGCAAATGATTGGTAGCCAGAGGAGGCCACTGTGGACAGCTGCAGAAAAGAACAAACGAATGGAGTAGAAGCAAGGAGAGATGCAACCTAGAGAAGGCAAAGACAGAAGAAATTGCATACGAAAGAAAGTTTGTTTTATTAGAGACAAAAACAAGAATATAATTTAGGATAAACACAACATGCGGGCAATTACAAATGTAATCTGAGATATTCCTCTAAGCATCATTAATAAACTATTAATACATAAAGAACTAGGAATAAGCAAAAGTAATTTCACTGACTATTTGTAAAAGGCAAGACAAAAACAGAAAAATAGAATTTTTTTTAAACAATAATGATTAATAACTTAGAGTAGAAATATGTTAAGTTATTTTATCTAATATAATTTTGCAAGTATCATTTAGTATTAATTTATTGAAGATTATCAAGTGAAATTAGTATGTAAATAATTAATTTAAACTCATTAAAATAAATTTACTATGAAAGGTTTTGTTATTGAAACGTTAATTATATTTTTTATTAATTTTGTCTCTTGATCCTAATTACATTTTTACCATATGAACACTCATAATTCAGACATTATCCCATATTATTAGCCAATAAGAAAATATAATCATTTTATTTCATAATTACTAACTGCAATCATTAGCAACATGGTGTCCCAAAAGTTCTTCTACAGTGTTAAACTTTAGTAACTTAAGATGTATAAATGCTATCAACTTTCAATAAACATCATTTGAAAACTCAGGTAAGCTTCATCAATCTCAAGTGTGATACATTGTTGAGATGATTTTTGAACTGCAAAAACATTCATTGCTGCTGCTTAATAACTGTACCGAATTCATTTGTAATGCTAAATTTAAAATTATTTTTAAAATAATTTTGATGTGATCACACACACAAAAGTCTAATGGCATTAGAGTGGTGGACTAAAGTAGCCGGGAAGGAAGCTCCTCTCCACCAATCCACTTGTCTGAGAATTTCACAAAACTAATCAATAAGCAATTTTATTAAACTTTTGGAATGGTGTTTTATTGTAAGTTTAATAGATTATGATTTAAAAATGCTAGAAAGTTTTAAACTGTAGAAAACTTTTGGAATACTTTATATAATTAAAATTGAATAAAATAAATTTGAAATTATTCTAACTTTAAAGTTTATNGTTAATTAAATTAAGGTTTAACCTTAATAGCTAAAATAATTAGTAATTTAGTGTAAATTTAAGTATATACATTGTCTACAATAGTGGTTCTCAACAGGTGTGCCACGTTCTGTACTGCAACAAAATTTCAAAATATAATTGAAAAACGGTAAATTTTTAAGTTTAATTTTTGTTCAATTCGTATATTTTTTAATATAAAATTGCAGCTTAATAAATTCTCTTATAGTTTATACATACAAGAGCATCTCTTTGATGCCACACAGGCTCATTGGTATGCCAATTATGGAAGAAGATTGACAATTATTTTCTCTAGAACATTCTAGTTTCATATTCTAGAGATGTGGTTCTCAAATTTTTGTGCACTTAGCACACTTTCTAATGGCACATTAAGGAGCCAGTGTGGCGTCAAATATGCTTTTGTATGTATAAACGAAAAGTGTCTTTGAAGAACTGCATCTTTCTATATAAAAATACAGAAATAATATTTTAAAAATAGAGAAAAATTACTATTTTACAGTGAATTTTTGAAATTTTAAGCACACCTTTGAGAAATTCGTGACATATCAGTTGAAAACATTGTTCTATATAAAGTTTTTTATATTAAATTCTCATTAAATTTATGTAAAATATACAAGAAAAATAGAAAAAGTCATATATTTTTTTTAAAGTAAAGTAATTTATAAATGTTTTTAATACGAATTAAAATTATTGGATTATATTAAAAATAAAGTTTTATTCTTACTTTCTTCAATTTAATGATTTCTAGAATTTACTTTCGATTCATTCTGCAAATAGCACACAATTAAGGACAAAAGATAGAAAGGAGTCGATCCTGGAATGTTAAGTCAACTCAAAGGATATGATAATATATCGATATTTTCTTTTTAAAATATTTAATCTAGAGATTGGGAACATGCAGCCTTCAGGTCATATGTAGATTCTAGTATCGTACCACTTGATAAAATATAAAATGGTATAAGTACTAAGATTCTACCAAATCCTAATTTTTGAATTTGAAAAAAATGACTGTTTTTTTCATGTACTACAGAAAATATAAGTTTGGTTGAAGAGTGTTGTCTTGCAATGGAGATTATAGAAGAAAAGTGTTCAAAGATGTTTTGAAAAGAAGTTTTGGAAAGATTCAAGAGTTCTTGTGTAGAATGAATGTGCAGACTTCCTCTCCATAAATTAGTTGTTTTTCATGATTTATTAAATGTATCATACTGTCAATAAATGTTTGCTTATTAATTTTATACAAATGATTATATATATTATTAAAGAATCTGTTGGTATTCTTTAGCATTACAACTCTTTTCTTTATTTAAAAAACATTCAATTTTTTGTTTTTGTTATTGTGACATCATTACAATGCCAAGCTGCAATTTTTAATCATCTTTAATTTAAAAAATAACACAACTTCTGGTCAACTGGAAGTATATAGTTAATTGGGCCTCTGTCACCCAAGTTTTCCATATCTGGTCTCAATTTTTATCTATGTAACTCCATTCTCAAGATTAAACAAAGGATGGATGGACAACAGATGGAATGTATAGTATTTGAGAAATTCAGTTCAAAAAGGCTTAAAAAATTCAACAAAAGTGGCAATAAAATACAAATTTCAATTGCAGTTAAAACATACTGTACACACACACACACACAATTCAGTAAATGGAATAAACAAATTTGAATAACAGTAAAAGAAATACAGAAAGTTAATTATCATGAAGATAAATAGATTAAGAAATAATACAGCAATAACAAATGATTTCATGACAAACTGATCTTATTCTTCAAAATATTCTATAAGTAAAAGTTAACCACACATTATTACAATGTGTACTATATGTGGTACATGAAAGTATAGACCTATTAGACAAAATGTAAAATGAGGTTCAGCTTGACTTGTGTTAGTCCACTTTCTATATTGATTATTATTACCATTGTTGATCAGATTAAAAGCCACAGTTTAGTTCTAAGTAAAAAAAAAACAGATTTAAACCATGAGTTATTTATTTAGACCTTGTTTCTGCAACTGATCTATTATGTTAATCTAAAATGTTAATTTTATGCATTAAGGCAAGAATTTTTTAACTTCAGCCTAATCAGATTTACTTAGAACCACATCGGAAACAATTTTTTGGTGCATTGCTAATGGTGCATTGAACTGATGAATTGGTGAATTCAACTATTATTCATATAATAGTTGAATTTGAGGTTAGGAAATTAATTTGTTGAGAAAAATAAATAAAAACTATATAATTTTTTTTATTACCTCTTCAATTGACTTTCCATTTGAACTTTCACTTTTTGCTCTTCTACTACGATACTTTAGCCTTTTCTGTGATCTTCTTGAATTTCGTTCATTTGTTGTATCAGTATCTAGTTCTGAATCTTCTGTATGACTAATTATATTAAAATAAATTAATTTTGTATCACCAAAATAAAAAAAAATATATATATATACATTAGTTTTTCAAGCATACTTTTGTTTGTCATTATATTCTTCAAACTTTTTGTGAAGAGAATGATGTTTTCTTCCAGTTGTACCATAAAAATGATTATTTTCATTGCGGTTGCACCTTCTGGCAAAATGAGGAAGAGATCGTATCTGTAGATGAGAAGAATGAGATTTGGTAGCTGTATGCATTGGACTGGTTCTTAGAGGAGATTTTACTGGATTTCTCCGTTCTCTCATTGGGGTAGAACCACAACTAGAGCTATCTGTAGAGGTACTGAAGTTGGCAGCAGTATCTATTCACAAGAATATTGTTTACTTTAAAATATAAATTCAGTTGAAATATATTTGTAGAATGACAACTAACCTGAACATATTTTATTCATTTGAACTTTTTCCTTATTATTTTCATATTTTTCTTCTTCGCTTTGACTATTGGAAGGGAAATGATACATTGGGTTACTGAAGGCAAGAGGAGGAGGAAGGCAGGTTGCTGACTGATGAGATGTCTCCTGTTGAAAAACGGGGTCCACGGGTGAACTAGATTGGCTGTATGCAAATGATTGGTAGCCAGAGGAGGCCACTGTGGACAGCTGCAGAAAAGAACAAACGAATGGAGTAGAAGCAAGGAGAGATGCAACCTAGAGAAGGCAAAGACAGAAGAAATTGCATACGAAAGAAAGTTTGTTTTATTAGAGACAAAAACAAGAATATAATTTAGGATAAACACAACATGCGGGCAATTACAAATGTAATCTGAGATATTCCTCTAAGCATCATTAATAAACTATTAATACATAAAGAACTAGGAATAAGCAAAAGTAATTTCACTGACTATTTGTAAAAGGCAAGACAAAAACAGAAAAATAGAATTTTTTTTAAACAATAATGATTAATAACTTAGAGTAGAAATATGTTAAGTTATTTTATCTAATATAATTTTGCAAGTATCATTTAGTATTAATTTATTGAAGATTATCAAGTGAAATTAGTATGTAAATAATTAATTTAAACTCATTAAAATAAATTTACTATGAAAGGTTTTGTTATTGAAACGTTAATTATATTTTTTATTAATTTTGTCTCTTGATCCTAATTACATTTTTACCATATGAACACTCATAATTCAGACATTATCCCATATTATTAGCCAATAAGAAAATATAATCATTTTATTTCATAATTACTAACTGCAATCATTAGCAACATGGTGTCCCAAAAGTTCTTCTACAGTGTTAAACTTTAGTAACTTAAGATGTATAAATGCTATCAACTTTCAATAAACATCATTTGAAAACTCAGGTAAGCTTCATCAATCTCAAGTGTGATACATTGTTGAGATGATTTTTGAACTGCAAAAACATTCATTGCTGCTGCTTAATAACTGTACCGAATTCATTTGTAATGCTAAATTTAAAATTATTTTTAAAATAATTTTGATGTGATCACACACACAAAAGTCTAATGGCATTAGAGTGGTGGACTAAAGTAGCCGGGAAGGAAGCTCCTCTCCACCAATCCACTTGTCTGAGAATTTCACAAAACTAATCAATAAGCAATTTTATTAAACTTTTGGAATGGTGTTTTATTGTAAGTTTAATAGATTATGATTTAAAAATGCTAGAAAGTTTTAAACTGTAGAAAACTTTTGGAATACTTTATATAATTAAAATTGAATAAAATAAATTTGAAATTATTCTAACTTTAAAGTTTATATTAAAAACAGATTTTATAGTCCTGAAAATAAACCAACAAACAAATATACAAAAAAAAAAAAATTGTTTAGTGCACAAATAATACAATATTCAAATTATGGATTTTATTTTTTATCTAACATTTTATTGAAAAACCAAACTTATTTATAGAAGTTATCATGTGAATGTAATAAAAACTTTAAAGCTGGAGATTTGTTTATGAATGACAAATTAAAATACTATATATATATATATACAATATTTCATTTTTAATTCTAATCTTGTGATTTATAACAGAATTAATGGAATTCTAATCTGTTATTCTAAAGAAGTAACTTTTTTATGAATATACACACAGTGAATGGGATTCTAATGTGTTAGTTTTTTTTTCTTTAAAGATCTTATGGTTTAAGGACAGATTTCACAACTGTTACCATATGCTTATTATAAATCTTAAAAATTCACTATATATATTTTTCACTTACTTCTAGTGAAATTAAAATATTTAAAGTAAAATTTTCAGAACTATAATTATAACTCTGTATTTTTATTATGTAACACTAAATTTATATAGTTCAGCTTTTTATCTTATTTCAAATGATCCTATTTTCCCACTCAATTATGAAGTGAAAAAGTCTAAAATGAAAAAAATTAAAATTTTTTACATTTTGAAATTATTTGAAGTTTAAAATAAACAAGATCTAACAAATAAATTATAAACCTATTTTAATCTATATATATATAATTACATGTCCTGACTGACTGACTGACTGATTCATCATCACCCAAAGCAAAACCGCTGAACCTAAAGAGGTGAAATACAGAAAACAGTTAGGGTACCTCACAAAAATGTACACTAAGAAGGGATTTTTCAAAATTCCCCTGCAGGGGAGAGGGAGAGGATTAAGGCTTAAAAAGTCTTAGCCCCAAAAGGCAGTACCACAAACATGGTTTACAAAGAGGTACTGGGGTAACTGAAACTCTATTTTTTAGTAAATATTTATACTTTAAGAATTTTCAGATAACGTCATTTATGTTTAGGAAAAAAATTGAACTCAGATTTATTGTATCTTGGAATCCCATAATATTTGAAACTTGAATTTAGGTGCATTAGCAATCCATAGTTTGAAACAAACAAAAATTAGTAATTTAACCAAATTAGTAACAACTAATGATTGAGAATCTTAGTGAAGTACCGAGGGAGGGTTATTTCTATCAAATTGCAAAATCCGCAGGGGCAAAGCTGCGGGTAACAGCTACTATATGTGTATATATATATTCATATAAACCAATATCTAAACAATTAATTTAAAATCAATTTTGTACTTTAAGAAAATTATTAAGACAATTAAAAAGTTTAATAATGCTATAAATGTCTCTTATTAAAATAAAAATTATAATTTTTAATTTGTTTAACTTCCATAAAATGTTACAAAAGATTAGATATATCATTATTTGCAAATTATAATCATTTAATTTTGTTTGACTATTGTTCTGTTTACAACTTTAACTAATTTAAAAACTTAACACAGTACACTCTCCAAAATCCAAACTAATTATTTTATATACAAGGTTGTTTGGACTAGTGAAAAGTTCAGATTAGTTGATGTTTTACAGTGTGACTCCAATTTACAAATAGTGATACCTTGTACTTTAAATGACTAACTTTGAATGCTAAATTCAAAAATTCACTTCAGAGTTCAAACTGCACATGCAGTGAAAAAATCACTTGAAACATAAACACCATCTGTTTTACACCCAATTTGTCTTGCTCTCTTGCATTACATTAACAAAAAAGCACTGAAAACATATTATTGATATGTTTGATTACGAGGTCTGTTCAAAAAATATGCGGACTGTTTGAATTGCGCAGCTCCGGTTGGTTCCAGAGGAATCAGCTTGGTGTCGCTAGGTTTGTACAGATTGTCTGGTGATAAAGCCATTTCCTGATTACAGATATCTTTATTTGTTGATTAGCTATGCGGTTTTTAGTGAAGTGCGATTTTTTTGTTTGTCGGATTTCAGAACGAATGACCTGATGGAGCAACAACTTGCTGTGAAATTTTGTGTTAAACTTGGAAAATTTGCAACTGAAACATTTGCTATGCTCAACACGACTTACGGTGAAGTTGCTATGAAGCATATGGCATGTTTCAAGTGGTCCCCCAGACCCAAAAAAGCTTGCCAAGTTTGATCCAATGTCAAAGTGATGCTGACAGTTTTCTTTAATGCTAAGGCTGTTGTTCACCACGAGTACCTCCCCCAAGGCTCCACAGTGAACCAGACTTACTAAGTTGAAGTTTCAAAACGTCTGAGGGACGCCATCTGTCGCAAAAGGCCAGAAATGTGGAGGAATGATGATTGGTTTCTCCATCATAACAATGCTCCAGCCCATTCAGCCCTCAGAACTCGTGAGCCAAACACTCGATCACTGTTCTTCCCCACCCACTACTCACCTGACCTTGCTCCTCGTGACTTTTTCTTGTTCTCCAAACTCAAAAGATCCTTGAAAGGAAGAAGATTTGAGACGATTCCCGAGATTAAGGCAAATGCAACAAAGGTGCTGAAAGACATTAGAAAAGAAGAGTACCAGGACTGTTTCAATAAGTGGAAACACTGTTGGGATACGTGTGTGTGTTGGGAAGGAGTACTTTGAAGGGGACCCAGACATGTAACTTCTACATAAAGTACATTTTGTTTTATGACGTTAGTCCGCATATTTTTTGAACAGACCTTGTATATGTATTGTTTGTCAAAAATTGACAAATAACAGTTTCTTCCTGCAATTTTCTTTCTTCAACAAAACTGAACTTTTTAAACCCCATTTGAAACATTTGAAGTTTAGGAGCATCTTCCCTATATATATTACAAATTTTTTTACTGTCTGTATGGTGTATTCTTCTGACACCATAAAGCATAATATGCCTGATATGCCATTTTGTTTGAAGACATTTCATCTTTTTTATTCATATAAAATTGAAGTAAAAAGCTTAAAATAAACTTCTAAACAAAGAATAAAATATCACATTAGCAATAAGGGGTTAAATTTCATAACTGTTATAGTTAAATCATACATCTATGTTAAGTAACTAGAGCTGTTAAAAGTATATTGAATTGAATGGAAAGTTTCTGAGTAATTTTTATTTATTATTAGTGGTATCCAAGAAGAGTGTAGAAACAACGAAGCCTAATTGTTGTATCAACAATTGAGACAAAAAGAAACTTATCACGTGGTAGATCTGGCTGAAATTAAAGGTGTGCACCCATAAATACAATTTTCATTTGAATTTTGAAATGAGATTTTATTGTTTTTGTGTGTTATTATTATTATTATTATTATTATGTGTATTTGATGTTTTAAGTTTATTGAAAAGGATATTGTTTAGGATCTGGGAGTAGATTAAGTCACTTTCCATTATTTCTAATGTGAAAAATTGATTTGGATTTTGAATAGCCTCCTGGAACAAATTAAATTTGAAGTATGAGGCACTACTATATTCAATACAAGTTACAGTGGAACCTCACAATGAGTATTTCACGTAATGAGCAAAACAAATTGTAAAATGATGACTCACTTAATGAGTGATATTTTGCATAATGAATGACATGGAGAGGGGATGTCCCAGATTGTGCACACGCACCTCTGTGTTTAGCACTTGTTCCGCTAGCATCTTACTGTTGCTTGTGATCACATATTTACCATACTTGTGTTCACACATATTACGTATAAACATCAACAACCATAGTCCGTTATATAATAAACACTTCAAACGATATGCCAAACTGTTGAGCTATGTTAAGTCAATAATTAAAGATTAAAAATTAATTAATTTGACTAGAGATAGACAGTTGTGATGCCATCTTGTAATAAATTTAATGACCAATTCCAAATTAAATTTTAGAAATGTCTGAATTAAAAATTAATTATTTATAATTATTAAATTTAATACAAGATGGAAGCATAACTGCCTACCTCTAGTCAAATTAATTAATTTTTAATATTTAATTATAACCTTAACATAGTCCAAGAATTTGGCATATCGTTTGGTGTGTTTATCAGACATATTTATTTGTGATTTTTTTTTGTTTTCTGCAAATCAAATTCGCATTTCAGGTTGATTCATTTCACGCTAGAAGAAATGATGATAATGATTCATGCTCCTTAACAATGTATATTGCAGACATGGGAAAATGCGTATCCGAGAGCGGCATTCGGCTCTTTTTGAGTTACATACAGCTCTTGCTGAAAGTGTTAATTTCTGCTTTTTATTATTATTTTTACAATTTTATTTCCATAATTTTGTGAAAATATGTTTATTAAAAACATTCAATATTTGTTTTATATTATACTTATATTATATAATAAAATCGCGGTACAGAATAAAAAGTACAGAACTGCAGCTCCCATGCATTTTGCAAAACCTACATTTTGCCTCCCACTGAACTGGTTTGTCCATCCCTGGTATATTGTATAATTTTCTTTGAATAAACGTAATATATAAAATATTCAAGTATTATCGTATTTTACATTAATTTATATGGGAAAAATTGTTTCACTTAGTGTTTTGCATTACGAGTAAGATTCTGGAACGAATTATGATTGTTAAGCGAGGTTCCACTGTATTTTCTTTTCTCTTCCCAATTTATGAGAACAAAATACAGTATTTTAATCACAAGAGCAATGAACTTGAAATATATATGCTCCAATTAAATGGCTCATTACAATTTTCATTTCCTTTGTTTCATTCATGTTGTGTCTTTGTTCACTGGAGGCAATATTATTCATTCTAATACAGTAATGCAATTTGATGAACTTTATCTTTACATTACAGATCATTATATCAACATTAATTGAATTTTATTCTATCAATACTCTATTGTTTTCTGCTTAGTTACTATCTTAAAAAAGAAAACTTTTCCTTTTACTGATAAGAGAAAGAAACATGTATATTATTAGTTATGTCATATTTACTTCTCCCATTTGCATTTGTTGCTTTTATGTTAATAAATAAACTAATCTAAGCTGTCAGAATAAGATAAGAAATAATGAGACAGCTCATCATTACTTATGATATTTTGATTTACAAGAAATTTTCAGAAATAAGGCATACTTGTAAATTGGAGTTACATTGTGTACGAAGAGAAGAAAGTCAAAGGAATATAGACGAATACATATATTTTAAATAATTTTTATATTGTAGTTAGCATATATGTTTATGGTAAAGTATTTGGTACAGATTAAGAGGATCTTTGATTGGCAAGAGTGCACTATAGTATATAAAAGTATATTCAATATTCACTAAACATATAAAAACCATATTCAACTAGAACCTATTTTTGTTTCCAGTACTGTTTAATGATAATTAAATGTTTAATTAAAGACAAACTGTTTTGATTAGTTGATCTTCAGATCTATGTGAAATGGAATGCGACTGGATCAAAAACATGTCTTTAAACATTTAATTATCATTAAACAGCACTGGAAACAAAAAAAGGCTCTAGTTGAATGTAGTTTTTATTAGTATTACTTTCATTTTTTGTGAAGTTATTTCTGTATTCACTAAACATAAGTATATACATAAGCTGATTATCTTCATCAATAATATACAATATATTATAAAATATTACTTACTTGACTTATAGACAATTGACTGTCTTTTATATTGGGATGATCATTTTCCCCTGATGACGTAACTGCTTCATCTTCAATACTTGGCATCCTCTCTGGAAAATGGTTTACTGGAAGAGGTCTACGATTTCTGTTAACTGGAGATATCTTGCTAATATTAGATGGATTCTTTATTTCATTCTTCTCTAAAAAATTAACTCTTTGAAACATAGAATTCTGTATGTGGACTAGTTGGCTTTTCATTTTCTGGGAGAAAACATCTTCACTGTTGAAATACTTTGGATCATCAGATTTCATTGAAGCTTTTTCTTCGTGAAAATGATCAGAATTCAGAGCACTGAAGAGAACATAATCGTCAGCTGTAGACAGGTCTGAAGCTGGTTTCTTGCTACTACCCAATAAGTAAGTATTTCTAGAAATATTTACACCTAAATCAGTTACTTTATTTACTTCCTAATGTATATAAGGATGCCAATCTATCATTTATTGAAAATATATTAAATTGGATAAAAGAATTTTAATGAATTGCAGTTTTAGTTCAAAAATTTTATCTTTTACTTTAATTTAGAAAAATTAAAACTATCACCATAATTTATAATAATACCAGATCATAACTAAATATTATGTAAATTACAATATAGAATTTTTTTCAATTTGTTAACATAGTTCAGAAATTTTTGAATGACAAACTATTTTTAAAAAATGACTGGCATCCTTATACATGTTATCCAAGACATTAGGCAATTAGAAATCCAGGGGAGTTGTATTCAATTCTAGATGATAGATGTATGGCAAATATTTTCCAATTAAAATAATACTTTGTTTTACAATTTTTAAAAAGAATCTGTTTAATTTCTATAAACAATAGCTAAATTTATAATTATTATACAGTGGTCCATTTTAATCAATCCACTAAATTATCTGGTGAGTCCTACAAAAAAATGCATTAAACCTAAGATGTTAAACTTTAAGGGGCCACAAAATAGCACTTGGTTTTATCATAGATGGCATTACAATCAGTAGAAATAGAGCCAACTTCATTTTCTTATATGGGAACCCTCATTTTGCATATTTTGATTATGTATAAAAACTAACTAACTTTTACCTGAAACATTTTTCCAGAAGATGCACTTATCAGAAGTTGAGCTTTTCAACTTTTATACAGTCACCACACTGNAAATAGTAGAAATTAATTAATTTGACTAGAGGTAGGCAGTTATGATGCCATCTTGTAATAAATTTAATGACCAATTCCAAATTAAATTTTAGAAATGTCTGAATTAAAAATTAATTATTTATAATTATTAAATTTAATACAAGATGGAAGCATAACTGCCTACCTCTAGTCAAATTAATTAATTTTTAATATTTAATTATAACCTTAACATAGTCCAAGAATTTGGCATATCGTTTGGTGTGTTTATCAGACATATTTATTTGTGATTTTTTTTTGTTTTCTGCAAATCAAATTCGCATTTCAGGTTGATTCATTTCACGCTAGAAGAAATGATGATAATGATTCATGCTCCTTAACAATGTATATTGCAGACATGGGAAAATGCGTATCCGAGAGCGGCATTCGGCTCTTTTTGAGTTACATACGGCTCTTGCTGAAAGTGTTAATTTCTGCTTTTTATTATTATTTTTACAATTTTATTTCCATAATTTTGTGAAAATATGTTTATTAAAAACATTCAATATTTGTTTTATATTATACTTATATTATATAATAAAATCGCGGTACAGAATAAAAAGTACAGAACTGCAGCTCCCATGCATTTTGCAAAACCTACATTTTGCCTCCCACTGAACTGGTTTGTCCATCCCTGGTATATTGTATAATTTTCTTTGAATAAACGTAATATATAAAATATTCAAGTATTATCGTATTTTACATTAATTTATATGGGAAAAATTGTTTCACTTAGTGTTTTGCATTACGAGTAAGATTCTGGAACGAATTATGATTGTTAAGCGAGGTTCCACTGTATTTTCTTTTCTCTTCCCAATTTATGAGAACAAAATACAGTATTTTAATCACAAGAGCAATGAACTTGAAATATATATGCTCCAATTAAATGGCTCATTACAATTTTCATTTCCTTTGTTTCATTCATGTTGTGTCTTTGTTCACTGGAGGCAATATTATTCATTCTAATACAGTAATGCAATTTGATGAACTTTATCTTTACATTACAGATCATTATATCAACATTAATTGAATTTTATTCTATCAATACTCTATTGTTTTCTGCTTAGTTACTATCTTAAAAAAGAAAACTTTTCCTTTTACTGATAAGAGAAAGAAACATGTATATTATTAGTTATGTCATATTTACTTCTCCCATTTGCATTTGTTGCTTTTATGTTAATAAATAAACTAATCTAAGCTGTCAGAATAAGATAAGAAATAATGAGACAGCTCATCATTACTTATGATATTTTGATTTACAAGAAATTTTCAGAAATAAGGCATACTTGTAAATTGGAGTTACATTGTGTACGAAGAGAAGAAAGTCAAAGGAATATAGACGAATACATATATTTTAAATAATTTTTATATTGTAGTTAGCATATATGTTTATGGTAAAGTATTTGGTACAGATTAAGAGGATCTTTGATTGGCAAGAGTGCACTATAGTATATAAAAGTATATTCAATATTCACTAAACATATAAAAACCATATTCAACTAGAACCTATTTTTGTTTCCAGTACTGTTTAATGATAATTAAATGTTTAATTAAAGACAAACTGTTTTGATTAGTTGATCTTCAGATCTATGTGAAATGGAATGCGACTGGATCAAAAACATGTCTTTAAACATTTAATTATCATTAAACAGCACTGGAAACAAAAAAAGGCTCTAGTTGAATGTAGTTTTTATTAGTATTACTTTCATTTTTTGTGAAGTTATTTCTGTATTCACTAAACATAAGTATATACATAAGCTGATTATCTTCATCAATAATATACAATATATTATAAAATATTACTTACTTGACTTATAGACAATTGACTGTCTTTTATATTGGGATGATCATTTTCCCCTGATGACGTAACTGCTTCATCTTCAATACTTGGCATCCTCTCTGGAAAATGGTTTACTGGAAGAGGTCTACGATTTCTGTTAACTGGAGATATCTTGCTAATATTAGATGGATTCTTTATTTCATTCTTCTCTAAAAAATTAACTCTTTGAAACATAGAATTCTGTATGTGGACTAGTTGGCTTTTCATTTTCTGGGAGAAAACATCTTCACTGTTGAAATACTTTGGATCATCAGATTTCATTGAAGCTTTTTCTTCGTGAAAATGATCAGAATTCAGAGCACTGAAGAGAACATAATCGTCAGCTGTAGACAGGTCTGAAGCTGGTTTCTTGCTACTACCCAATAAGTAAGTATTTCTAGAAATATTTACACCTAAATCAGTTACTTTATTTACTTCCTAATGTATATAAGGATGCCAATCTATCATTTATTGAAAATATATTAAATTGGATAAAAGAATTTTAATGAATTGCAGTTTTAGTTCAAAAATTTTATCTTTTACTTTAATTTAGAAAAATTAAAACTATCACCATAATTTATAATAATACCAGATCATAACTAAATATTATGTAAATTACAATATAGAATTTTTTTCAATTTGTTAACATAGTTCAGAAATTTTTGAATGACAAACTATTTTTAAAAAATGACTGGCATCCTTATACATGTTATCCAAGACATTAGGCAATTAGAAATCCAGGGGAGTTGTATTCAATTCTAGATGATAGATGTATGGCAAATATTTTCCAATTAAAATAATACTTTGTTTTACAATTTTTAAAAAGAATCTGTTTAATTTCTATAAACAATAGCTAAATTTATAATTATTATACAGTGGTCCATTTTAATCAATCCACTAAATTATCTGGTGAGTCCTACAAAAAAATGCATTAAACCTAAGATGTTAAACTTTAAGGGGCCACAAAATAGCACTTGGTTTTATCATAGATGGCATTACAATCAGTAGAAATAGAGCCAACTTCATTTTCTTATATGGGAACCCTCATTTTGCATATTTTGATTATGTATAAAAACTAACTAACTTTTACCTGAAACATTTTTCCAGAAGATGCACTTATCAGAAGTTGAGCTTTTCAACTTTTATACAGTCACCACACTGCATATGCATCTGTAGACATCTATGAAGTTTATCAAAAAAAGGAAGAAAAATGACATGGACCAGTACAATTGCTGGACTTTTTTGACTTTTATTTGTGAGGATATTTAAAAATGTTGCCTGTGAACAAGAACCAACAACTAGAGAATATGACTGTATGTTTCTACAAGCTGTTCAAATTCTTTCAATGGGAACATGTTACTAAAAACTGTGAGACATTTCCAACTGACTTATGCATTCAAGAAAGTGGAGATGTCTTTGAATAACATTTTCAATAAGAGAAAACTGTGAGAGACATCCCTTGTCTCTCACAGTTTTCTCTTATTGAAAATGTTATTCAATAAGAACTCATGTTCATTAAGTTCTCCATTAAAGGGTTAATTAACATGAAAAATTTCTTGAGGAAATTTAAGGTAACCTCAAGCTTCATTTGAGGAAAAATTTCAAAAACTAGCCAAGATCAACATCATCTCTCTATCACAATGTAGTATGAGTTTTTGTATCAGTTTATTATTTGAATAAAGAATAATTCTACCAAATAATAATAGTTTTCTAATGATTTTTCTTACTTTTTTTCAATGAACTGTGCACTGCATACACTGTGTGATGATTATCTTATATTCTAAGATATCAATTCATATCTAAAAATAATGGCCCTAATAAAATAATTATATCTGGATTTTGTTATTTTCAAAAGTATAAAAATATTCTAAGAAATTTTCGTTTATATTTATTAATCAAGAAAAAGTAGAAATATAAAATATTGCACAAAAATGATTGTGTGTTAAGACATATGTGCAGTGTTTTCATATATAAAGTAATGAGAGAAAATACTTTTTAGACTGAATATTGAAATACATCCAGTGTACATGAACTCAAGTCCGTTTTATTGTAAAATTACATTTAAAATTTACATTACAATAAACTAATTATTGGATGAAATAAAAATCTGTATAATTTGTATGTTAAGCTAGCTGTACTTATATATACTTATAGTATACTATATAATTTATTCTAGATTTTCATTACAAATTTACTAATAAATAAACTATATTCTATTCCATACTTAAAACTTCTTAATTGTTAGCTTTGTCTAAGACTTGCTGTATAATAAATCCAATTTATTTCATGCTACTACATAACAACCAATAATAATAATAAGTTTAAAACCAGAACTTAATTTATTATTGTTATCATACTATCATAATTTGTCACTACATATCATAGTTAATGAATGTAAAATAAAACAAATTCTTACCGTGAAGATGGTGCAACTTTGTTAAGTGATGAGCAATTCTTTTCACTATTATTATTATAAACATTCAATGCCATTTCATTATTATTATTGTTGTTGTTGTTGTTGTTGTTATTATTATTATTATGATGAATGGAATTTACATTTGTTTCTTTAGATTTGTTTTCCAAAAATGATTGATATATCTGATTATTGTTGGAAGTTGACGATAATGAGACTGTTATTTTTTCTAAAATATGCTGAAGAGTAGCTGCATGATCCTGATAACACTAGAATAGTCAAAATAAAAACTTTAACTTAATTTTACAAACCTTTAGATTTTTCAATAAAAGTTGCTCTACCTTTTGATTGATTCGAGGTACACATTCTATTAGAATGCCATGGAGAATAGATAGCTCTTTACCAAGATCAATATATCCTTCATATTCTGTTGGACGATAACATTCTTTGGCTATTGGACTCTAATAATAAAAATATGAGAACATTATTACTAGAAGTATTCAATATGAAGAATTAATAATGTAAATATTCAGTCAAATATTAAAGATTAATAATTGACTATTTAAAATTGAGAATAACACACACAAAAAAAAATTACAAATTATATTGTATTTTAGATGTCTAATTTTGTTTTAAAAAATAAAAGTGAAAAGTTCAATTTTTCCCCCCCATTTCTAAGTCTTTAGTTTAAAAGCATTGTTTTTGAAATTATGATATTTCCATTGAACTTTATGTACGTCTAAAACTTGAATTTTAATTCTCTCATGTTCATTTAATGTCTTACATATAATATTTCATGTACTGTATATGAGCAAATATGTTCACAGGTAAATCTTTTAACAATTTTAATGATCTGTTTTCTTTAAAACAAAATTCAGTTTTGTTTTCAAGAAAATAAAATGGATTTGAAAAATTATCCTAAAAATTTTAGAATCATTTCTATAAACATCTTACAGATATTTGTCGCAAAAATGCCTTCATTGTACTCCATTCTCTTTCTACAAATTCATTCATAAATTCCATGAAACTTTCTTTTCCACCAAATCTATTAAAGAAATATAAAACATTTCATTAAACAACATGCTAACATATTTTATGAATGCAATGAAAACCTTGAAATTAAAATTACTATAATCTAAAGCTATTATTGTCAATTCTTTTGAATTCTAAATCTCTTTATCAATTTAAAACATCAATGCATTTTGGTTACGGAAAAAGATGCATAAAAAATATACAGTAGAGCATCGATTATCCGACCCCTGATTAACTGTCACATCGGTTAACCGACCGTTCTAGTCAGGAAATTCAAATGTCCACTAGTGATGTGGTGCTACAATATTTGACCATGTCTTGGCTACTTTAATAGTATTTTTACGTGTTTTAGCTGGCAACATGGCTCGACCATGAAAGGGAGCCAGTATTTAAATGAGGCTTAATTTTCTAATTTTTAATGATACAATAGCAACGATTATTATTTTAAAAAAATTTTTGTTAGGCTTAACATTGATGAAAATTCAACGTGAAGTAGGTTAATAGCGATATACTAATATAATAATTACATGAGATACACTAATATACTATACTAATAATGTATTTTTTCATATTTTTCGGTTATCCATTTTTTCAGTTATCCGACCAACCTGTCCCCAATTGAGTCGGATAATCGATGCTCTACTGTATGTATTAACTTACTAAGAGTTCATATTAGCATATTAAATACAACCAAAGTTAAAAATTTTTTGAGCAAGTCAATAAAGATCTATAGGATGAAAATGGTGATTTGCAATTCATTTGACATTAGAAAACTATAAATGTAATTAAAAAATGGACTCAATTATTAGTAGTATACATATGACACACACTAATCACAAAATTAATTTATATACATAATTTTTAAAATACAAAGTAAATTTTTTAGATTACAAATACTTATCTAAGAAATGTGATTGGACGGTTTTTTCATATAAATTAAATTTTAATATATTTTAGAATTTATTTTAATGCTGGGATCAGTTACAGAAGCATACAGTTTTATTATTACCTATGACAGAACTAATCACAAAAATAAATTTGTTGTCTTTATAAGTAATTTTTCAGATAAGCTAAAGTTTTATTGCCGTGAAGTGAGTGGTAATTTGAAATAATATAACACTGAAATTATTTTGATTTTTTTTATTTTTACGTTACATTAATACATGGAAATTTTTACATTACATTTTATTTAAGTGTTTCCAGTTTTTCCTTCAGTTTATCTATACCGATGCACATTTCTCCCATTAAATGCAGGAATAAATTTTCACAATTGTGAATGATATATTCTCGATTTAATCTAAAAAGTTTACTTCATATTTTAAAATTTATGTATATAAATTAATTTTGTGATTAGTATGTGTCATGCATATACTGCTATTATTAGCTTATGATTTGTCAAAATTGAGCTATTAACTATTTCCAATGTCAAATTCACTATCAGACAGATATATAATATAGGTTCTTTTTAGCTGAATCTTTATTTACTTTAATTTGATAGGCAATACATTTCCTAAAAAATAATTAAATGTAAACAATAATTTTTGTTGTTAGTGAAATATAATTTGTTATTCAAAATTAGAAACTATTAAATTAAATTTTCAAAATTATTCTTAAATTTTATTCTTCCAATTCCTTTTTACAGAACTTCAGAATTTACTTTTGTATTTTGTATAATTTAATCATTTTCAATGTTTGCAATCAATAATAAATTAATAATGTATACCACTATATAAATTTTTCCATTTAGCATATGTGGTGGGTGATCAGCTAACAAACACTTTGGACTGCAAACAAATCGGACAACGAACACCTGACAGAACAAACACAAGAAGCGATGCTGCATGCAAGATTTGTAAAACTATATATTAATGGCATCTATACATGGTTTATGGAATGAGACTTTTGCATACATAACCTTTTTTGCACTAATTAATTTCTGTTCTCTGAATTTTTGTAAGTGCTTTTCTGAACTTTTTATTTAAAAAACTGAACATTATGGGGCCTAAAAAGAGTGTAGTGTCAAGAACTGTGTTATCTATAGAAATCAAGCAAGAGATAATAGCCAAGATAGAAAGTGGGCAGAAGATGTCTGATATTATAGGCAGATGACTTCAACAGGTCTACAGTAGATACAATCTTACCTAAGAAAGATATAATCAAAAATACTCAAGCAGATAAAGGAGTAATGAAAATCACACCTGAGAAACAAAGATGTGTCATCCATGAAAAAATGAAGAGATTGTTTTTAGTTTGTTATTACATGTAAATAAACATAGTAAAAAAGTATATAAAGTTTTATTTTTGGGGGTGTCCAGAACGAATTAATCAAATACCCACAAAAATCTATATAGTAAGTTGATAATCAGTTAATGAACAATTTGGATAGCAAACATGGTCTTTAAATAGATTATGTTTGTTAACCAATCACCCACTGTAATATAAAAAACATTTTAATAATATCAATATCTTATACAAAAGTAAGTGTAAAAGAAAATGATACTTAAAATTCAATATAATATAGTGAGAAAATTAAATTAGCAAAACAATTTCTAATTTAGTTTTCTCTCCATAAAAACACACAAAATTTATTTTAAGGTTTAGTGCTGTAATGATAATGTATAAAGTTTATATACAAAAACTAATTGAAATATCATATCACCTTGTAAAATTGGCTAATGTTTGAATAGTCTTTGCCACTAGAGTTAGATTACGTGCAGCTCGTCCTTGAGGATATTCTAAGGGTATTGTAATGAAAACAGAAATATGTAATAAACCATTTTATTTATTTTAATCATTAATAAAAGAACTTTAAAAAGTTTACCTTGTGTTAGATTAAAAAGACTTGGTGATAAAATTGCTGGACAGAGAAATCTCAAAAATATTGAAGCACTAATCAAATTATTGCCCAGTTCTTTCTTTCCCATAGCTGATAATCTTAATTGATATTCATGGAAAACATCTTGTAATTCTCTGAAATTAAAAAATTTCCCTTTTAATTTCAACTTAAAAAATAAATTAAAAAAAAAAAAAGAATTTATAATCACAAGAATATTTAATAATTTCACCATGGTTATTGAAACTGATACATCATTTAAAAAGCTAATTAAAAGTGACTGCAAGACATGCACTGAGATAAGTATAATATTTTAATTTAAATTAATAATTTTTAAATACAATTATAAATATATTTACTTTGGAAAGTAAGTAGAAGAATTGATTATTTTCACCCATGCCATTTCAACAAATGTCATCAAATTTCCTTGTTGCTTTTGAAGCACAGTATTGTTGGACACTTTCATTGGATCAACCTAAAATTATTTTATATTTAACATTATTTAGAGCATAAATACTAATAGTTATTATATTCATGTCGTATTTAACAAGAGGTGTCATAAAAGTTCCAAGAATGAATCAGAAATTTATTTAGCATGTTTAGATTTTTATTCTAATATTTTTCAAAATAATTATTGAGTTTCAATATACTTTCTCCAATTCAAAAAACATTTACTTTCAAGAATCACAAAATTTTCTTTGATTCAACTTGTGTGAGTTCTATTGACTCAAACCATTTTCCTTTTAAAACTGGAACTACTATTCTTCTGCAACAATCCTATTCCTTTGATTAAGTTCCTAATGACTTTTTATTACCCAAAGTTGAAAAAAACTTTCAAATGAAAATGGTTTGAGTCAATAGAACTTGTATATGGCAAATCAAAGAAAATTTATGCAATTCTCAAAAGATTTTTCTAAATGTTTCCTGAACTGGAAAAAGATGTATTGAAGTTCAGTGTGATTGATTATCTTGAAAAACTAAATAAATTTCTTTATATTTTAAATCATTTTGTTTTTTGATCCATTCCTAGAATTTTTTGAATAAAATTTATAAAATAAAAATAATTAAACACAATAATCTAATATTTAAGAATACTGGAAAGTTTTATAGATTATAATAATGTATTGATACATTAACTAAAGAAGTTGCAGCCGAAGTTTTCATCTCTAAAACATGAATGTTGAATGTTGAGCACAGCCATCTTGTAAGCCTAGAAGTTTGACAATGTCATTTGGAATGTCATTGGAATCATGCTTGACATTCCAAATGCCATTGCCAAACTTCTAGGCTTACAAGATGGCAGCACTCAATGTTCAACATTCACATTTTAGAGATGAAAACTTTGACCGCAACCTCTCTATTAAAATAAAAATTCAAATTATATATTTTATATATCCATAAACTTAGAAATAAAAATTTGATATGTTTAAATTTTAAAATCATTTAAAATGTAAGATTTTATCTTTTATTTCTAAATATTGTTTTAAATATGTTCCGAAAATCTGGTATTATTAGTAATGTATAGTGTGTTTTAAATTATAATAAAGCAAAAAAGATATTAAATTTTGTAGCTTTTAATTCTAAGACTTCTCAGTCAAAATTTTTAAACAGTTAGTTTACCACACTACTTCATATAATAATGCACTTTTTGATACATACAATAATAATAGATGATTTATCCTTTTAAAAAGGATAATATAAATATATTTTATATACATTTTTTNTTTGGCATGTCGATAACATATACATTTTTTACTTGTTTTTACTGTGATTTTAAAAGAATAAATCATCCATTATTATTGGAAATATCAAATATGTTTGCAAAAACATGTGTATATTTAATTTGCATCATTGTTAAAAACTAATTTTTATAAAATAATCTATGATACACACATGCATATTGTAAAAAATAATTTTAATACATACTTCACAGTCATCATTTGATTCAAGTACTGCTCTTAGGAATCCTCCTAATGTATCTTGAAGATACTAAAAATATTTGCTCAAGTTTAATTTGGATAAACTTGAAATATTTTAAAAATCAAAATACAATTAGTTTGAAATACCTTTTCCCCTAATAATTTCATAAATGCTTCAGTTGCCTTAGTTGCCAGAGTATTGCCCCGAAAAGTGAGATGATGGTCATCTGACAAAAGTTAAATATCAATATTAAATTAATTTACATAACTTTTCTTTAATAAATAACAGAAAGGAAATCTCATTTATTCAAAATATGTAAACTGATATTCAAATATTTTTATAATTTAACCCTCAAATATTGTATGTGTCTTAAAATTTTTAAATCAAATACAGGGTCTGGCAGAAAAATGGACAATTATAGACAGTTACTAACTTTTTAAAATATTCAAATAAACTTTTATGTATAAGATTTTGTGAGGACCTGGGCTGAGATGAAAAACATTCTTTTAACCATATATCCAAACAAAAACAAATCTTGATCTTTGCAATTAATTAAAATTAAGGAAACTAAATTGTAAAGGAAAAGGGAAAAATATTTTAATACTAAAATTATGCAGGAAAAAGGGAGAAAAATTAGTAAATTAAATTTTTTATAGGACAAGACAAACAAAAAAGGGAATGTTAGTTAAGGTACAAGGTTCATTCAACACTAAATAAAAGATTGTGTCCAATTGTATTAATAAACAATTGTCTTTCTTGGGAACCAATCTGGACCAATTTCACCTGGTAACAGAGAGAGACCAATTTGGGACCAAGAAAGGGGATTTATAACCAATAAGGTGACGATTTGTGAGACGAAAAGATATTTAAGCCCAGGCTACAAGAATACTTCTTTCTTTGCCGTGGCATCCCAGGAGGCTATGTCCCTCACTGGGGTGCTTCCTGCATCGTTCCATCTTTGTCCTTTGCCGATATATCCTCTGAAAATTATAGACGACCTTCAGTGAGAGAAACTTCTGCAAATCTGCATTCACCAGACATCATTTCCTGTTTAAGAACTGGACTTTGAATATGACATCCAACAGTGATAGGAAACCACCCTTGTCACTGGACTTTCCTTCGCTTCTTTTGAAGACTACGCACCAAAGTATACAAAGACTTCAGCCCTTTGTGACTAGAATTTTTTGTTAAGTTAATTGTCTAGTAAACGGGTTGTGCTGTTTGTAAATGAGGCATCAATCTCTGACTAAATCGTTCCCACATGACATTGACTGTTACAGCTCAGCAGTCAAGACGGCATGGAGACGATAACAATGTATCACAATAATTGTTATTTCATTTAAATTTCTTTCCCCTGACCCCTCACAATTTCAAACGACATAGTTTGCTATTTATATTTTGAAGATGACTCATGTATGTGATCCTCATTCATGCACAAGCACTGTTTGCAACTTATTTGAGACAGAACATGTTTTCAATTTATTGAATGCATGATAAAGTTTTGCCTTAAAAGTTTTACTATTTTGTGGACAATCTTCATATATCACATTCTTTGTCCACAAAATATTGAAACTCTTAGTGCAACAATCCAAAATGCAATCAATAACATCTGTTGTGTATCTCTATGCATGGCATACTTTGAAGATGAGAAGAATATTTGCACATGAATGAGAGTAACTTGAGTAATGTCATCTTCAAAACATAAATGGCAAGCCATGTGTCAGGGTTTGGATATAATGAAGGGTAATGTCGAAGGTAACACAAAGAAAAATGGAGAGAACTAGAAAGCGATGTCCGTTAGACCACAGCACACATTCCAAACTAAACTAACCTGGGCCAGAGTACAACTCCCTTGACGATCATAACTCAACAGACCCCACACATAGCAGAGGGGAGGGCGCGACGATCACAAAGACAAAGTTCACATACACAACTTTCTAACACCCTCTTTATTGGTGTGCCCGGAGTCTGCGTATACACTGAAACTTATCATTTGATAATTTTTTTTTTTTTGGAAGCACTGTCGTATCCATCATGATATATATTGATACATACACATACACATACATCGTGTTATCTGTCTTCAGTATTGTAAATAGTTACCGGTGGTTCTACCTAGGCTTTGTTTAGTCCAAGCAGCTTGACGTTTGCTTCATGTTTGCTTCTCGGAAGGGCCTTCGTTAGCACATCCGCTTTCATCTCTGTGGTGGGGATGTAGTCTGTTTTAATTTCCCCCTTTTCTTGAGCTTCACAGGAGAAGTGATACCTAATGTCAATGTGTTTACTTCTTCCATGATGAACGGTATTTTTACTCAGCTGAATAGCGCTCTGACTGTCACAGTAAACTATCGTCGACGTATTCACATAACTTTCAAATTGCATTTCTCTTAGCATCCTTCTCATATGGATGACTTCCTTGGTCACGTCGGATAGGGCCATGTACTCCGCCTCCATCGTCGAAAGCGCAACAGATCTTTGTTTTTTTGATTCCCAGCTGATAGGTCCGTTCGCTAGAATTATTATGTTGCCTGATGAAGACTTCCAGTTGTCATTATCTCCTGCTCAATCTGAGTCCACATGTGCGCACAGCTTCTGATCGCACTTCTCGTAGTGTAGACCGTAATTTACAGTTGCTTGAATGTATCGGAGTACTCTCTTGGCCATTTTCCAATAAACGATACCTGGATTAGAGCAGAAACGGCTTAACATGCTAGCTGCAAATGCCAGATCTGGGCGTGTCGAGTTCGCCAGATAAAGGAGTCCGCCGATAAGTTTTCTGTATGGTTTTCCTTTCATTTGTTTTGCTTTCTGACTGCGGAGCCATCGCTTTTGTTAGTTTTTGATTTGATTCAATTGGTGTTGAAACTGGTCTACATGCTTGCATATTAAATTTTTTTAGAAGATCTTTAGCGTACTTTTCTTGAGTCAGTTTCATCTTTCTGGTAGTCCCCTCTCTTTCTATTCGTATTCCCAGAACTTCACTTGCTACACCCAAATCCTTCATTTTGAATTCTTTCTGAAGGATGTGTTTGATTTTTGTTATCATCTCTAAGTTGCGTGAGGCAATTAGCATGTCATCAACATAAACTATGATGATAACATTGTCCCTGCCTTCATTTTGGGTGTAAGCGCAAGGATCCGAACTCGTTCTCTTCATGCCTATACTTAGGAGGTAGCTGTCTAGTCGCTTGTACCATTCGCGTCCTGCTTGTTTTAATCCGTATAGGGGTTTAGTTAATCGGCACACCTTATCTTCTCCTCCTTTTGTTTTGAAATGCTCTGGTTGCTCCATATATATTTCTTCCGTTAAGTCACCTTGTATGAAAGCCGTAATTACGTCCATTTGGTGCACATGCATTTCGTTTTCCACACACCCAGCGAGGAATGCTCGGATCGTTTCATATCTTGCTACTGGAGCGAACACTTCTTCAAAGTCAATTCCTTCTCTCTGTTGGTATCCACATGCAACTAACCTGGCTTTATAGCGATCGACGGTGCCATCCTGTTTTCTTTTTATTTTATACACCCATTTATTTGAAATTATTTTTCTGTCCTTTGGGCGTGGGACTAATTCCCATGTATTATTTTCCATTAAAGACTTATATTCCGAATCCATGGCATTTAACCATTCCTCTCTATCTTCTCGGCTTAATGCTTCTGTTACACTTGTAGGATCTGGCAATTCGTCACATTTTGCGATATCTGCTGTTTCATTATACACCTTCTTTGGTCTTCCAGGTTTTCCACTTTTAATTAATCGTGGGCGTCCCGCTTTGCGTTTTGGTTGCGGATCTAATGTTCCATCATTATGTGAGGGGATATCTTCGTTTTGCATGTCAGCGGAAGGGACATTACTCTCATCAACTTCGATGTTTTTTATGGTTGGTATTAAATTTAAAGGCGCACTAAATAAGTCCTGTTCGTTTTCGGTTTCTAGTTTTTCGAAGAAGCGCACATCTCGAGCCTTTATGACAGTTTTAGTGCCTTTCTCCCATAGTCGGTACGCCTTTGACTCTTGTGAGTAGCCAACTAGAATGTATTCCTTTCCCTTTGGCTCAAATTTATTTCTCTTCTGTCCCTTTTGCAGAGCAATTGCTTTACTACCGAAAATTCTTACAAATCCAACGTAAGGTTTATTTCCAGTCCATAGTTCGAGTGGAGTTTCTTTTTCTAAGGCTTTGCTGGGACAACGATTTCTTATGTAGGCTGCTGTGTTGATAGCCTCTGCCCATAGACTCTGAGGTACATTGGATTGAATCATCATGCATCTCGCCATCTCAACGAGAGTTCTGTTTGCTCGTTCGGCTATTCCGTTTTGTTGGGGAGTATGCTCGACTGTCAACTGTCTCCTTATTCCTTTTTCTCCAAGATAATTGGTAAATTCTTTTGACAAGTATTCTTTTGCGTTGTCAGTACGAAGCCTTTTGATTCTTTGACCAGTTTCGTTTTCGACTCTTTCCTTGTATCGTTTAAATGCTTCGAGTACTTCAGATCGGTGTCTGAGCATTGCTACTTCGACATAGCGTGTTTTGTCGTCAATGAATGTCACAAAATACTTAGAACCGCCTAGGGATTCCACACTCATTGGACCACATATGTCAGAATGGACTAATCCCAGTATACTTTTCTCTCTCGTGTTGGATGACTTAAAGGGTAATTGATGAATCTTACCTTTGCAGCATGTTTCACAGTCAATTTTGTCTTGGGTTTGTTTCAATGTTATTCCATCTACCATTTTTTTGCTTGCTAGTTTCTTTAGATCGTTGATGTTTAGATGACCAAGTCGTTGATGCCATCTCAAAAGATTGTCACTTTCTTCTACATTCAATACTGCGTCAGATCTAGTTTCTACTACGTATAGCTGATCTCTTTTCTTTGCTATCAAGGCGATGGAACCATCTTGGCGAGTAACAGTTGCAGATTCTCTTTTGAATGTGACAGAATATCCATGTTCTGTAATTTTAGGTACAGATATCAAGTTGTTTCTCAAATCTGGAACGGCTATCACGTCTTGTAGCTTGATTGTATTATTGGTGTTGTTGACACGCACGCTTATATTAATTGTTCCAGTTCCAACGGATCTTAATGCATCTTTTCCTGCAGTTTGTATTTCTTTGTGATCTTGATTTATCTCTGTAAATTTCGTACAGTCGCTACACATATGTGCGGTTGCTCCGCTATCAAGACACCAGTCTGTTGAGTTTAGAGGTTGAGCCGTTTGTACTGTGACCGCCATAGCGTCATTCTTTTTGCGTGTATTGTTCCTTTGCGAATATCTGTTATTACTTCTACACTCAGCTGCACGGTGGCCCGGTTTAGCGCATATGTAACATGTTCCTGTGAATTGTGAAGAAGAACGACTATTTCCTTTTGGGTAGTTTTGTCGGAAGGAACTTTTCTTTTGTTTCGATCCTATGTACAGAGCACTTTGTTCGACTAAAGATTCTTGCTTCTCTTGTCGTCTTACTTCTTCTTCAATTAATTTTATTTTTAATAATTCAGGTTTCGGTATGTCGTCTCTGGACTCGATGGCAATTCGAAATGTCTCGTATTCATCGGGCAATGAATTTAGTAACATTATAGATAGTAACTCACTTGGAATTGGGATACCCGCTTCTTCTAATTGTTCAGCCTTTTCCATAAATTCACTTACATGTCTCGACATTGATTGTTCAGTTCCCTTTTTCATCTGATAAAGTTGTTTGTATAGCACTGCCTTTTTAATTGGACCTTTCGATTTATGTATCCTTTCCAATTCATCCCATGCTTCTTTGGAAGTTTCTGCCCTCTTTATATGGCTCAACTGGTTCTGCTTAACGCCTAGTAAGATTAATGCTAAAGCCTTTTCATCTTTTGTTTGCCAATCTATTCGGCCAGGATCGGTATCTGGTTTTTCTATGGATCCATTTACGTACGACCAAAGTTCATTGCAAACAAGTATGCTACGCATTTGTAGCTTCCACGATTCGTAGTTGCCATCATCGAGTTTATCAACATGCTGTGTCCCCACACTATTCATGGCGTTGCTCTTTGTTCAGACGGGTTATGCCTTTCGTAAGCAAACAAGTATATATCACTTACTTGAATCTCCAATTAGATGTTTTTCGTATGGTAAACCTCGATCATTAAACCCTTAAACCAACCACGCTCTGCTACCATGTCAGGGTTTGGATATAATGGAGGGTAATGTCGAAGGTAACACAAAGAAAGTGGAGAGAACTAGAAAGCGATGTCCGTTAGACCACAGCACACATTCCAAACTAAACTAACCTGGGCCAGAGTACAACTCCCTTGACGATCATAACTCAACAGACCCCACACATAGCAGAGGGGAGGGTGCGACGATCACAAAGACAAAGTTCACATACACAACTTTCTAACACCATGTTTGAAATCTTGCACATGAAAATTTATTTTAAAAAATTCAAAGATTAATAACTGTGGTTCTTCTGTCAGACCTTGTATAAACAGTAATTTCAACATTATAGCTGAACCTTAATAAAATCCAATTTTTCCAAGAGAAATATAACTGCCCTTTACTTCATTTAGGATCTTACAAAATGTTTTCTACTAACATTTATAAAGTTGAAATACTGCAATGCTGCTGCTTTTATTATAATCTTTAGGCACTCTCAAACAATAAATTCAAACAGCAATTTTTTTTCAAAACTTCTCTATCTAAATTTACAAATTAAGACATATAAAGATGAAGTGTTTCAACTTAAAATGCTAGTGGAAAATAAAATATTTTTATGAGTTAGAGCTGTTATGTTTCTCTAACTTGAAATGTAATCTTCATACACTAAGAAAAACAATATTATTCAGTGTTCCATAATTAAATTGTAAAGAATTTCACATTAATCATTAAAAAGTTTATCCATGTCAATTTAATACAATTTGTCATTTCATATTATCACAATATGAATATTCAGACAATATCATATCATCAATACTGAAACTAATGAGATTTTCCTATTTATTATTTTCAAAAATACCTAATTTGTCAATGTCAGCCATCACAACTTCAGCAAGAAATTCTTTCGCCATGTTTTCTTTATGCATTATGTGCACTAGAGCAGTAGCGATATCTTCCTATATAAATTTTTATTAATAAATTTATTATATTAAAATATCAGAACATAAATATTTAAAACTAAAATACATACCTTAGCTCTAACTCCAATAACAGGTTCCAACATTTCACATAATAATTTTCCCTCAGTTTTTAGATACTAAAAGTTTAAATAAATATTTAAATTATAAAAGAAGACGACAAATCAATATTTTTATTTCATAAATATTTGTGAATAATTTTTTTTTATATTTCAATTAAAAACAAAAAGATTATTCTTCTTGAAATTCTATGAATGAAAATGTTTCCAGTAGCAAAATTCAAATTTGGTATCAAGCAGAATGTAAAATAATATATCAAAATTATTGCTGGAAAAAGTCATAGTTGTCATATAACATATAAGTAGAAAAATTGCTAGCATACAACTATAAAAATTCTAATTTTTGATAATTAACTTAATTCATTATTATTTTAAGTGATCAATAACATTAATGAAGAATAGCATAATAATTCAATATATTTTTTTTTAACATAACAATTAAAATTTATTTTTATTAATATTCAGTTCTATCTCACAAAGCTAACCATGTACAGTAGGGTCTTGTTTTATGCAAGATTGATATAAATTGGTTGTTTTTTGCAATGACAAATGGTTGAGTTAGTCTTTGGATGTACAGGGATAATTCTGATTATTAATGCAAGTACTTATTTTTTTTTAAAAGAAATTCACCGTGGAGTAAAAGTAATGATAGGAAGTAGAAAATTGCTTATACTTTTTGAGAAAAAATTATCTTTCCATTACTATGTTCATCCATATTGATGTGTAACACTCTTAGTGCCATTCAATCTGACTCTTATTAATTTAATTAATAAACCATACTTCTCCAGCTTTTGACAATCCAAATACAGAGAACAATTGATTATAAATATAAACAACTGTGATAAATATCCTGCTTTGCATGTATTTTTCTAAAGTAATATACTGATATGGTATAATAAAATTCTGTTCTGTATATCCAGACATAAGGTTATGCAACAATTTACAATTAACTGAATGAGTATTTAGGCATCTAGGACTATTTTGGGTGGAGCACAAATTTATACAAAATTTTGTTTTATGCAGTACTTACTAATGCAACTCCAATATTCTACAATGGAATATACTACTATAAGATTTATAGTCAATTGCTCTTGGACTGATTTCCATACTTATGTTTGAATAAATAAACAAGTTAAAAACTGCAAGAGTTAAAATAAAACTTTCTTCATAACTCATATCAGTGTATACCTGCATTTCCAAAATAGTACTGAAAATATAATATTATCAGTATGAAATTTAAGATATTATCTCAAACATTTTCAAAAAGTCTCCTATAATAAAATGTTAATGGAAATTAAATAAGTAATTATAAAATAAGTGAAGCAGAATATTTGACACAAAAATTCCCAAATTTCATGTGTTAAAAATTGTTGAAAGTAATTTAAGTTGAAAGTACATTTATTCAAAAGCATATTACAGTAGAGCGTCGTTTATCCAAAAGAATTCCAGTCGGCAAATTTAAATTTTCGCTAGTGCTGTGGCGCTGCAATCTTTGGCTATATCTTGGGCTACTCCATTTTTTTGTTGATGTGTGTGTTTTAGCTGGCCTCACTGGCACTTTTGTGTGGTGTTTTTCTGAGGATTGTGTGTCATGCTGAATCGAACGTTATTGATACTAGATCAACTTCTAAAGTATATTTTTTTTGTTTTTGTTTTTATATTTTTCAATATATTTATTTTGTTTGTAAGAAATAAAGAAATAATTTTTAACAATACAATAGTCATGATTATTATTTTAAAATGTATACGTTAGGCTTAACATCGAAGAAAATTTAATGTGAAGCGACATGCAACGGAGAAAAATTTTAACACGGGATAGGTTAATATATTTTTTCGTACATAATCGGTTATCCGAAAAATAAGTTATCTGAACAACCTCAGTCCCCAATTGATTCAGATAAACGACGCTCTACTGTATTGAAATCCACAATTTCTCCAATACAGTAATACCCCGAACTTATGCGATAGGTGGGACCGAGCGATAACCGCGTAAGTCGGGGTATAATTTCTCAATCTGCGTAAACTCCAAGTCGGATGTACATAAGCTAATAAATGGTCCCGTTAATCTTATCTCGTCTTTTGATTCATTCACGGTTACAAGAATTCATCACATAGAGTCTCTCAAGTCTCCGTAGATATAACAAACACAGAAATAAATAACACAAAAAAATTGTAGCTATGCGTCGATTCCGCTCGACACGTCCGAACATGTAATCTGAACAATAGTGTGGGGGGAGTGAGTAATCGAGAGTTGCGTGGCGCTCAAACAAAAGACGAATCGACGAGATTTGAAAATCGCGTAACTCCGGATTCGCGTAAGTCGAGGTATTACTGTATACATTTTTTACAGATTTTTTAAATATTTTATTGATCTATGAAAATTAGAAAGAAATGGGTGAGAAGTTCAAGCAAAAGTGAATAAATTTATTTTTAAACAAATATTTATGCATTTTATTTAAGAGAGATGCATTAATTTAAATATGGTAAAAGATTTTTCATGTTTTACAAGATGCTTTGACAACTTTGGAAAAAGGAAAAGTTGTTTAAATACTTTATAATAAACTGCAAAATCGACAAGTAAATTGGTCCCATCACACAATCTGCATCTGGTTTCAAACTGATATTTTTACAATAACCCATTGGTTAACTGCATGAAAATATAATATGTTGTAAGCAACTGATAATTGTCAAGCTTATATCAGAGCACACTATGCATGCTATACCTATGTAATTAAATGTCAGTTATGTCTATAATAATAAAAATTACAATTCAAAGAACACCAAAAATAATGAAATGGCTTAATGTTTATAAGCAATGTTTATCAATAATTTTAATCTGTTTTGCCTGTATTATTATATGCATACATACATAAAGAAGAAAGCATCTATACTCTTTTTTCTTAAATTCAAAATAATCAAATTATGTTAATTTTATGTTAAATAAAATATAAAATGTATATAATATACATAAGTAATTTGGGTCTTGTTTTATGCAAGATTGATATAAATTGGTTGTTTTTTGCAATGACAAATGGTTGAGTTAGTCTTTGGATGTACAGGGATAATTCTGATTATTAATGCAAGTACTTATTTTTTTTTAAAAGAAATTCACCGTGGAGTAAAAGTAATGATAGGAAGTAGAAAATTGCTTATACTTTTTGAGAAAAAATTATCTTTCCATTACTATGTTCATCCATATTGATGTGTAACACTCTTAGTGCCATTCAATCTGACTCTTATTAATTTAATTAATAAACCATACTTCTCCAGCTTTTGACAATCCAAATACAGAGAACAATTGATTATAAATATAAACAACTGTGATAAATATCCTGCTTTGCATGTATTTTTCTAAAGTAATATACTGATATGGTATAATAAAATTCTGTTCTGTATATCCAGACATAAGGTTATGCAACAATTTACAATTAACTGAATGAGTATTTAGGCATCTAGGACTATTTTGGGTGGAGCACAAATTTATACAAAATTTTGTTTTATGCAGTACTTACTAATGCAACTCCAATATTCTACAATGGAATATACTACTATAAGATTTATAGTCAATTGCTCTTGGACTGATTTCCATACTTATGTTTGAATAAATAAACAAGTTAAAAACTGCAAGAGTTAAAATAAAACTTTCTTCATAACTCATATCAGTGTATACCTGCATTTCCAAAATAGTACTGAAAATATAATATTATCAGTATGAAATTTAAGATATTATCTCAAACATTTTCAAAAAGTCTCCTATAATAAAATGTTAATGGAAATTAAATAAGTAATTATAAAATAAGTGAAGCAGAATATTTGACACAAAAATTCCCAAATTTCATGTGTTAAAAATTGTTGAAAGTAATTTAAGTTGAAAGTACATTTATTCAAAAGCATATTACAGTAGAGCGTCGTTTATCCAAAAGAATTCCAGTCGGCAAATTTAAATTTTCGCTAGTGCTGTGGCGCTGCAATCTTTGGCTATATCTTGGGCTACTCCATTTTTTTGTTGATGTGTGTGTTTTAGCTGGCCTCACTGGCACTTTTGTGTGGTGTTTTTCTGAGGATTGTGTGTCATGCTGNCCTCTAGAGTGTTTATATCTGATTTGAAGAGTCTTCTGAAATGAAACAGATTTATATAAGAAGAATATAGATGTAACTATAATAAATAAATAGGTTAATAAAATTTATTGTAAAAAAATCTAACAATGATGATAAAATTAAACATCTGTATAAATAAATCTTAGAAAACTCACCATTTTTCTAATAAATGACGATTATTTACAGTATTTACTGGAATATTTACAGAACCTAGTAAATAAATGTAAAAATTAAATTAATCTAGTTCACTAACATATTGATGACAAATAGTACAATTTTGATTATGTTGACGTTTATTGCTTTTTATATGTACAAGACATAATTATATATCTCAAAACTAATAAATTTATATTCAGGAAACTTGTACAATTTTCATTCAAAATATTTCCTTTTCTTTAATTAAAACAATATTTTTTTCTGTATTTATTACCTATGAAGAAAATAAAAACAAACTTGCCATTTTATTATAATATACTGAAATATTTTAAAAAGATTTTTACTAATATTTCATTATGTTTACAAATCTAAAAACAATATTGTTATGGTCTTTTGAATTAAAATTAGTACAGCTTGTTTTAGATATCATGACTGAGAAATGTGCAATACTAGGTTGGTGTTCTGCAAATTTTAAAGTTAAAAAGCTTCTTTTTGGTAATGAACAGTGACCTTTTCACTGTATTACCAAAGACAAGATCACTGTTTAGAGCAGTGTTTCTCAACGGGGGCGATACTGCCCCCATGTGGGTGTTTTTCCATGTTAGGAAGCAATTAGTAACAATTTATATTTTGGGGGGCAAAAAACAATTTTCTGGGCGATATAATAAAACATTATATTAAGAATAATTAGATATTTTATTCGTTATATCGTACGATAATTAAACAAATAACATTATACTAGTCACTAGTCTATTCAATTCAATGCAGTATAAATTTGGCGTTAGCCTTGGCCCTCAGCATCGGAATTTTGAAGTGAAGGGAGCGATACTACAAACGGTTTTATTGAAGGGGGCGACGATTCGTTAGAGGTTGAGAAACACTGGTTTAGAGTGATCCCTGCTACTGCACTTTTTAGAGCCTGGACAAGATCATGAAACAAGTTATACAGTAGAAGTTTGTTAATCCAGTCCCTATGAGACCAGTGTGATATATAGCAATGTCTGGGGTAATCCAATATCTTTTACCAATGCACACTGCTGTATGCTTCTGGTTTGTTTACACACACACACACTTTAATCAATTTAAAGTGATATAGTGTATGACTATATTGTGTTAAGATTGATTGAAAATTTTGAAAAAACATTAATGTTATTTTTGCAATAGCATGTTAATTCACAATAATTCATGTGCATGTAATATTTATTTAGTAGACATATACTGACTGTATACATAAATTCACAAAATTTACACATGGCCCAAGCATGGCTACTGCAATGCCCTCAACAGATGTGAGGAATCAACCTAACCTTGGTGTTTCCATGGCAATGCATCCACAGACCACAAAGGCTGGAAAACCACGCCAACGGATGAAATGGACAACAGAAATGAACGAGTTTATCATCCGTACTTACTACACCATCACAAAACTCGAAACAAACATGACAGCATACAGACAACAACTACACCATAGATTCACACAACAATATCCTCACCTCACTCACCGAGCAAAGGGTTGTTGATCAGAAGAGAACAATTATACACAACAACCTTATCCCACAAACAACACTTGAACTTATCAAACAACAGGTTGCTGATCAAATACATCAACAGACAGAAACATTTAACATTATTAATGAAGATCACATAACCTGTCAGGATAATCCAGCAACAAGCATTGATAATAGCACACATACAATAACTACCATTGATGATACTGCAGGCACTTCCTCATCCATCACTGATAACATAGACATAGAATTAGTTAATATTCTCTCACTTATATTTCAGGAAACACTCACTAAATATACAGGCACAGATCCCACACAAAGACCACGAATACCAAAAATCAACATGTCAAAGGTAGTAGGGAAAACACTAAATTATGCAAACACTTACTTACTACTACACTACATCCATTTGATTTCTACACTCTCAGACATTCATACATTAGTTTATGCTGGGGCAGTCACAGTAGTGACACACCATGGACTGAAAATACACTCACAGACAGACACACACACAAAACACAATTGGCAGAGAAGAATAGAAACACAAATAAATGACATTAGACAGCAATTAGGCAGGCTGACACAATACACTAAAAACAACATAACACCCAAATTAAAGAAACAACTCAAAAACATTTTCAAGAAAAT